TCAGTTGTCAGACGCGTGTCATTCAAAATGGCACTGCTAATGAGACAAAGATAATCGTGACGATAAAAAGAAACGAGAAAAAAGAAAGTAACGAAAGTTGAGAGTCTCGTTGACGCTCTTCGTCGCAGCTTTGTGAATTTGCGTTAGACGCGAGCTTGTTAAGCGCTCGATAAACGGCTCGTTACAATCGACATTCTTCAGACAAAGTGTAAACAAATGGAACATCGTCGGATAGATCTCGTAGTTCATTTATCATGGTTGTTCATTCCATAACGCGTTCGTCATTCGCGCGAATTATTGTCGCACGATGTCCGGGCGAAATTGTTATTCGCAGACACGCGCTTTCACACAAGCAGAAATGCGATTCGTGCTCGACAGACAGACAGACAGGGAGACAGATATATTTGTCGGGTGATCTTGTTTGCGTAATTCTACGACATAGAATTTACTCCGCTCTTCTTGTCATTTTGAAGACACTGAATGATTACCCGCGTACAAAGAGGATTAGACCGCCGAGACGTTTGCCGTTTAAACAAACGCGAATTCAAATGCTTGCGTAGATGATTGCGGATCGTCCATCTCCCGTGGGACTCTTGAATGATTTTCATATATTTATCGGGATTCGTCGAAGCGACTGTTCGGTTATCACATCGTTTGTCTCGGCACATAACATGTAAGGCCGATTCTACATTAGTTGCAAATCGCAAGATAATAAGAAAATTTACCAATCACAGTCAATCATTCCTCTTACGATTAAAGAATTGACTGTGATTGCTTAATTTTCATGCAACCATGAGACTTGTAACTAATGTAGAAGAACTCTTATAGACAGACAGCAACGGTTAATTCTTTTGGTACACATATGTGTAAGAAAGAAAGCGAGAAGCATTATTCTATAATAATTATATTTACACACACTGAGAGAAATTATTCGGTAAGAAATTAATACACGGATATTTCCGATCAAAAATCGATTATACACCGATATTTAAAATTACGAACCGATACTTCTTATCGGATACAAAAATGCATCGGTATTTCGTTCGGAAATATGATATAATAAATAAAAATAAATAAGATAATAAATAAGATATAAAGATAATAAATAAGAAATAACACATATATGTTTGGTCGGGAGGGACAATTTTATTCGAAAATTCGCCCTCGCTTCAAAGACCTCGAAGCCTCGCCGATATTTCTTTAAAAGAACGTTATATCCGAGACACATAGAAGGTTTGAGAAAAGAATTACCGATTCAAGGACAGGTAAAAATTCCGGGCCGTTTTACTTCGCAATAATTCACGTGGTATTTCTTTATTATAGGGTTTCAGCGGAGTTGACATATTTCTCAATTTTTTCGTCGTTTGCACTAGCAGAATATCGGGCTACCGAATTCCTAGACTCACGCAGCTCCTGTCGGCAGCTCTCCTCGACGAGAAAAGTGAGCATAGTCTCGTCGAAGGGCGGCAATTCGCGCGACAGTTGCAACTCTTCCTCGGCCGGCCGAAAGAGACGAATTCGTTTTATTGCGCGTGATCGCCACGATAGAATAATCTCTGTTAGTGCGTGATGGCGCATCTCCCAGCGTGAAAGAAGCCACAATTTCGGAAAAATAATCTAATCTAGGATAAGTCAGTCGTTCTCATTGGCGTTTCTGTGGCGCCTAGTGGCACGTCGTAGTACGATATTATTTTTTCAGGCGCAAGCCAAAAAGATATTGTTAGTCATCTAGGACGCTCGATATTCTCTGAGTGCTGAATGGGCTCTGTTTGGCACCGATCGCGATAAGATTTCTTAACCTGGTATAACGGAACAGAAATTTGATAAGTTGAATTTCCTTATGCTCTAAACAAAAAGACAACGATGATGCGTTAAGACAAATCGCGTCGAGTAGGAAGTAATTCTAAGGAAAAAGGAAAAAAGTAAGAGGAAAAAAGTAAGAATAAGAATGTAATAAGAAATAAGATAAGAAAAGAGAATAAAACAAAGAGAGAGAGAGAGAGAGAGAGAGAGAGAGAGAGAGAGAGAAAGAGAGAATAGAAAAATTAAATGATTTATCCTTCCTTTCGCTCCTTTTTTCTGATATCCGTATGAAAATTTGCGACAAATTAATGATTTCGTCTTGGTCTAGTATAAAGTGATATTTCATCACGTGAATGAGAAAAATTGATATAATAAAACGAGAAGTTGTACGAAATTTTAAGTTGTTACTTTTCGCCCTATTTAGAAATAGCGGAAGTGACCATGAGAAGTTATTTTTCGTCCTACTTTACTTAAAAATAAAAAAGTGAAATATAGTAAATTCTTACAAGAGGTAACAAGAAGTTTGCTGTTCTCTTGAAAAAATAGAAAGTTCAGTTTCGAAAAGGATGTCAGCTGCCTTTTGCTCTATTTTTGCTGACCGCATTGACCTGTCGAAGGGGTACGATACGTGAGACGCATCTAATGTGGGTCATCCTGCATTAACAGTTGCTCGAGTTTTTCAAGGCCAGCTTATTGCTGAACCCTAAACCGACTAATATATTGTAAGCAGTTGCTACGTTTTGTGCATGTGACAGTTAACACGGATTTTGCAACCCTTCGAGAAAATTGAGCTGTATGTCGAATCGTATAGAGGAGCTGACTCGTGACCTCGAATTGATCCGATTTTGTTGCGGAAAAAAATGCAGAAAATAATTGTCTGTTTTCTATCAAATTCTCATTCGACATTTGAAGAAATCCCGAATTGACGATCACTTTGAGCGATAAAAATTATTAATCTTTCGAAATTGTATGATTTCACTTATTTTATCTTACATTTTCATTCAATTCTATTATTTCATATATGTTTTATTTAGTTTTATTTTACTTTTGCGCCGACTTAGTATGGAATATCGAGATTTTCAATTTCGCTCAAGCACAAATTAGAAAACTTTGTAATAAATTTAATAACTGGGACGTGAAGTTTTTTTAAATATCTTTGTTATGAAAAGTAATAGTAAAATTAATATTATATTTTTAATAACACATAGTTGCACAACTTTTGCGATAGTATAAAGGAGAACCAATAAAGAACCTTTCGGCTCCGTTTTATCTCCATTGAAATCTCGACAAAGACCACGATGCTTTGCAAGATGAATCTTTCAGGCTGAAACAGTCTCGTATATATTAGAAATTTATTCTAACATATCATAACGTGTTACTATGTTTCATAATTTAATATGGAATTTAATAAGAAAATATGAAATATAAGATAGAAAATATTAGATTTCATAAGAAATATGAAATATTATAACTAATTTATAACTAATAATCCTAATATTACGAAAATCTTCACTATTATTAATTTTAATATCAAATTTTTTTATTTATCCCGAGTCTTTTACTTAAAAAATGCTATTATTTTTAAGAACTTTTCTAATAGTATATTTTCCGAACGAAGAGTTATTTCTTCAATGTTAAATATCAATGTTAAATATTCAATGTTGAAAAATACTATTTGTACGGAAATATTATAAAGAAATCCCTACCGTGTCTCCTATATCAGACTATAAAGTTGTAAGATATTGTAAAGAAATTATAAAAAAAAATAGATTTTAAAAGTGAAATTATTTTTCTAAATATTTTTGAACGAAGTTGAAGGTCGTAAAAAATGATCCAGTTGTTCTCGAAAAAAGAAAAGACAGCATGCGACCTTTTTACCATGCTTTGTTTGCATATTTTGTCCTATCTTTATCTTATTTCTTTTAACCATTATAGTTGTTTTATGATCCTTTTGTTAACATATACACTAATTTGCTAGCACATAGTTATCGCCGCAAGAAGATAAATGACGCAAGATAATTTTTAAAATAGGATATTCAAGAAAATTCTGCCCTGAAAAATTTCTTCCTAAGAAAAGAAATAGAAAAAGGAAAAAAAACCTGGAAAAAAACTAGAACAAAACTTCGAGCTCGAAGAGATCGTCGTCGTTACGAATAAAATTTAAAACGAATATAATGTATAAAATTTTAAACATTTCTCGTTCCAGGGTTTTCGCCCTGGTCTAATATATCTCTTTTGACATTGCTTTTCAAAGATAATGGCAAAATAGACAGAGGCCCGGCTCTGCACCAGAGAATTGTGCACATTGAAACAACAGCAGCAGTAGCAGATGAACCGTTGTTAAGGAACGAAGGTACCCCATTCCATCTTCAACCACGCCCTCTTGGATAGGAACGTGGTAGGGTGGATAGTAATGAGAACGTGGTGAGTAATCGTTCAACTCCTCGTCTATTCGACTCCCTGAATCTCTATCTTCCTCTTATCCTGTTCTGGATTTTTCTACGAGTTTTCTCGCGTACATCGCCTACTTCATCCTTCTCATTCTTCGAACTCCCCCTACGAGGCAAAATGTCACTGTGACTTCGATGGTAATGATTAACATCAACATTGAGCTCTTAAAACAGAAATGTGTTCGTAAAATTTTTTCTCCCTTTTGCATCTGCCTCTCTCTCTCTCTCTCTCTCTCTCACCCTCTCTCCCTCCCTCCCTCTCTTTCTCTCTCTCTCTCTCTCTCTCTCTCTCTCTCTCTTCTTTTTTTACGCTGGATGAACGTCAAAGTATGCGTTTTGAAATAAGAAAAGGAAAAAAAATTGTAAAAGTAAAGTCACGCGATGAACATTAGTCAAGTTTCACTTATTAAACTTTACTACAAATAATATCTTGAAAAAATACTATTTTCACAGGCCAAGAATATATCGGTACTCGTCGCTGGAGTCGTCATTTCCTTCTCTGCGCCCTTGGAGCTCTGCAGTTCCGCCTCGTCGCTGGGCGCCGCCATCTGCGAAGTTTCGTTGCAGCCGGAACTGCTGCTTGGCAATAGCTGTTGCATCTCCATGTTCAGCGTGAATAGATAGCGTTGGGACGAAAAATGGACTCCTTTCTCTGGTTCGTTTGTTCGTCCTTCTGTTTCATCAGGTTGTTACCCTTTCTGAACATTTTGGTTAACATGACGCCTGAGGTGAACGATGCGGGCACTTTCACGGACGCCGATCCAGACGACATTGACGACAACGCATGCGATGACGGTGCCGTCGATGTGGATGGCTGGACATTGTCGTTGCTGTTACTACTGTTACTTTCGTCACTGGCCATCGTTTGCTCGTGCTCGGCTCGTCCGTCGCAGTGGCCGCCGCTGTCGTTGTCAACGTTTTATTGTCGCTGATCTTTGACCTCTGCTTAGGACCGCGTCTCGTGCCGTACACATCGATCACCGCCGGGCTCAATGTTCCATCCACGTTCAGTACTGCCGCTGGCTGGTGTTCAAGCTTTCGCAGATGTTGCTTTAGCGTGTGCCAGTACTTGGTGACGTAGTCGCAATCCTTGCATCTATATTGATAGACGAATGCGACTTCATGTGACTGTTAAGCATAGCCCTGTTCACACATGTGTACGCGTACGTGGGACATTTATACGGCTTCGCACCGGTGTGATTCAACAGATGGTACTCAAGATGATGTTTGTATTCAGTCACGAATGGGCACCTGTAGCAAGACATCAGCTTGCTCGACTTAATGTGGATTGGTATATGATTCCAGTATTCAAGTTTTGTCACCGCCTTGAAATCACAATTTTTGCAAGGGAAGGTCTTCACCTTGCTTTGGGCGTTTGTGCGGGGCACCAGCACTCCCGGCTTCAGCACATTTGTTGTCGTCTTCGTTGTCGTTCCTTGACGGCGTGGAGTGCCTTTCCTGGTTATAGAAATGCCGCAGCTGGTTTAACGCTATGTTGATGAGTTTCACGCTGCTGTTAGTTTTAGACATGATGTGCTCAGTCAAATAATGAATTTTATTCTCCTTGTACCGAATGACTGTATATTAAGAATCTTTACATATATATATATAACTATTATTTTATGTTGTGTATTATTGTGTTATTTCCTTTACACTAACTGCGTTCTGATTGGCATTGAATGAAGTGAGAAGGACTAGTGCTCGGCATCGAACGAGCACCAGTACACTCGTAATTACTTGTCATGCCTTTCATATCCTTTCAAGCGTGCAATGACAGCTGGAGCTCGCGACCTGGTGCTGCTTGAGACACTTCTTCTCGAAGATGTGCAAATTAAACTTCTGCATGTTGCCATACGACGTACCGCACATATTGCATGTGAAGGGCTCTTTGACTCTCATTTGCCTTTTATTCTCTTTGCATCGAACGATAAAATAACATTTAAAATAAAGAAAATAATATATGGAGATTACATATATACATATATACATATATACATATGTATAAAAAGTTGTAGAAAAAGAGAGATTATATATTTTTGTATATTTTAGATAAATTAGAATATTTTGGATAAATAAAACATATGCAAGAGAAGAAACAAAACGATTCTTTGCGAATCTCCCGATTCAATGGACGCTTGTTCGTGTATTAAGGGAGTGTAGTAGGAGTAGGGAGTAAGGAGTAAGGAGTAGTTCGTGTACAAGTACCTTGTAAAGCAGCTTTAACTTCTCTAAAGTACGACAGTACTTTTTAGTATGAAGTACGATATGACATTTTATTTATTTGTGTTCCAATGATCGCCCGAGTGTGGGAAGAATGCGTGAAGATAATCGACGTGCGTTTTCACTCATGACGTCGACATGTCCTCGCGGGGATGATGATCCCGTTTGTAACTGAGTTCCTAATATTGATCTCACGCAATGCGTTAATTTTTATACATCTCGCACGCAAGCGGTGATCCGCGGGAACTCGAGGCTGATGAAGCAGACGCTATACGGTCTGAATCCGCATCTGCTGCCGGCGCTGGCCTGCCAATTTCTCAATGTCTTCGTGATACCTAGAAAATTGAGCAGGTATCCTCGGATCTCGCTGTTAAAACGGCCAATTACCGGAGCATATTTGTCAATTGTCCCTTCGCTTCTTCCGTCGAGGACCTTACTTGCGAGTCCACAGAAGGTCACATTGGATGGTTCGAGGTATACCTGCTGCAGAGCGATACGTTGGACTTGATCAAGATATCGCCGAGTGAGGTGAGTTGACGTGACTGTTTTCCCGGCCTCATGATCACGAGACTGCCCGTTGACCTGACGCCGCATGAGCTGTCGCCACCTCGAACTTGGTCGCAGATGAGCTACTTGGATGTGTGCGACGTGAATGAGCGTTATACGGACGAAATCTCCAAGATGCACCGTGACACAAGAGGTGAGTTAGAGACAACATAAATAGAGGGTAGAAGAAAAATCAATCTATGCGGAAAGATGAGAAAGATGTAGTTCGAAGAATTCCTGTGAAAGGTGCACTGAGAGAAAGATGTATGATATTTGGAACTATAATGGCATAGTAAAAAGATTATAGTTAGAAATATAATTTTTATAGTAAATGTTACCATATTATTTGTAATATTTACAATATAAGCTTAGCATAACTGACCCGTATAAAATGTTTACCAAGAATTATAATTATTTGAAATAAAAAATATAGTAAGGTAGCAAATATTGAATGGTAAGAGAAATTAACTATTTTATATAGTTAATACAATTGGAATATTTGGCAAATATATGTACATGTAATTATATTCCCAAAAGGTGCTTTACCATATATATAGAATAATAAGATGGTGACTATAAATCTGTGTTCATTCTACTTATCTTCATGTTTAGATGAACTATAAATATATGTTTGAGGCCAAAACGAACTATAAAATATAGTGAGATTATAGTTATTCCAACTATTTTTTTCTCTCAGTGTGGCTGTATTTAGCAGAGAAAGCTGCTTTGCAACTGTTGTAAAAGCGTGAGTCTGAATAGCGTGTGGTTTTAATCTTGGCTGAGTCTAAGAGCACATACTAATCACATTCACAAATTTTACAGCAGTTGCAAGGTAACTTTCTCTGTTGAACGCGGATACCGATTTAGTAGGATAAAGTTGTGCGAGTGAAAAGCTCTTGAAACGTCACTCGCTGTCGTACTTCCTCGGTCCTCAGGACTGATGTACAAGCTTTATGAGAGGATGTCTCCTTTTGAACAAAGCTTTATCGCCTGTGTCGCGACGCTGGGCAAGGTGTTTAAACGAAATGTGCTGCTAAAAGCGATCATCCCAGGCGTGGATGACGCCACCAGCAGTAAATACCTTTAGTCCTTAATTAACGACCAGTGTCCCGCTTACTTTTTAGTAAATAAAATCACTCGATTAATATGTAGTTTCTCACTTTCATGTTCTCTCAGAGTAAATAATTCTCAATTTCACCTGAGTCTTCAAGAAAAAGTAGTTCCAATCGCTGATTCGAGATCTCTGACAAATCGACCGACTGATTTCTTAATGAAAAAAAATATTTCTGAAACGATAATAACTTTTGATGAATCGTTTGTCAACGATTAACAATTAACGATGCTGTCGCAGCCGCCATTTCGATGATGTTCCGCACAAAAATACTAGAGTGCATACAAAAATACCCTTGCTCCAGCGACGGCACTTCCTTTCTGAGGATCTCGTCCTCTGCACACTCAAGAAGCGGCACACCTTCTCCGACATGCGTCACTCGGTGACTTGCGACTGCCACTTTTTGTCGTGAGTCGCGATACTTCATGACCGAGGTTTCGCATAAACCTGTTTGTTTATCTCAACTTGACGAGTGTATGAATTATTTCCGTGTTCGACCGATTAGCAGTCAATTACCTTCGCTTATTATCGGCCAGTGCCCTCACCTTCTCATTGAATAACATCAATCAATAACGATTAATATGAAATTTCATTTTTGCGTTTCTGGCGCCTCTAATTTCCACAGCCAATTTTTCAGATATATTTGTTTCTGTGAACTTTCTCTCTACTTGATTGTATTGTTCCTCTATTTTGTCGATTTTCACGATTTTCTCGCGGTTTTCCCTTCCCCAAGGACCGTCGTCGACACTCCCTCGCTTCTCTGTGCTCATTGCAGAACGCTGGAATTCAAGGTCGACTCGTTTCGCAAGATGGTATATGACGCGCAATCGGATAAAGATAAGCGGCGGTATCATGCGAAAGCGGTCGAAATTTACAGCCGAAACGCCCGAAAGTGCAAGTCCTGCGGCGCCGGCGCTTTCCTCAGAGTTCCCGGCGAGGACATATCCACGAGGGTGAGGAGCGATCACGCGGATGTTCATTGAATAACGTGCTCTATTCTCCTTCTTCCCCGAAACTTTTTCAGAGAAAGAATGATATACGAACGGCCAGAACATTGTTAGCATGTCGCAAAATGATTTTCACGGATCCGTGAAACAGGAAGAAGTCATTTGTCGCGGAACGAAGCAAATTCTCCGCGGCGAGGAGGCAAGAATCCGTCAACGACACTCCCAGAGTGTCAATCATGCCGACGTATCTCGACCACGTCGACGAGGACGAAGGTGGCCAATCGCGATAGTTTCTGGTTTCGAGTTGACATTAATGCTGCAATTCTAAGCAAATATACGAGTAAATCATAAAATCGTAAAATCGTAGTTTATGAAAAAAAAATCGTAAATATTTACGAGTTATCTTATGGTCCGCATAAAATTGCAGATCTACTCATAAGTTTTTACGAGTCTTACGAGAACAAGTTACGAGTTTTACGATTTTTTCTAGAATTGCAGTATAAATCGAATTGAAATCGAATTAGAGAGAATTCCGGCCGAATTCGCCACGAGGTTTGTCTGTGAATCGAGAGTTTTTTAATTAGATACTTCTACGTTAACACGGAGAAGCGAGGAGATCGGGGAAAGTTCGATCAGCGGCTCGTCAAGATTCTGGAGACGCGTCTCTACGAGCGTCGCACCGGAAACCGCGAGAAATCACAACCGGTCCGACTACTTGGACGCGTTTAGTCACATAGATTACTGCAACTGTCGATACGACGGCGTCATCAGTTGCCTCTTCTGGAGGTTGCATCAGCACATCGAGAACAGCGGTGCAATTACGACTTTGTTACAAGAAAAGAAAAGAAAAAACTGTTCAATTATCGACTTTGAATTAATCTTTCAGGCGAGGCCAACAAGATAATCAACTTTCTCATGTAGTACAGCTCCGGACTGATCCAAATCGCGCAACCGTCCCACGCTATCAAGCTGCTCGTAATCGCCGCCGAGAAGAACGAGAGGACTACTAGAGTCAGCGATAACGAGGAAGAAAGCGTCATGAACAGAGGAATTATTTTAGCCTTGACAGGTATGTCGATATGATGTTACATCATATGATATTTTAATTCTTTCTCTTTCTTTATATTTTTTCTTCTTTATACTTTATATTTTATCATAAATATATATTATATATTTCGATAAACTATCGTAAATTGGAAATTAAAATTATTTCTATTCTTGAAATAAAGAATGATTGATGTATCTAAAATTATAGTTATTTCTGGCCCCAAGTATATAAAAATGTTAATAGTGACATATATACAAGGTTATTATTATAGTAGAATTTAGTAAAATAGTAATTTTCTTGATCATAATTTATAGTTAGTTTTAATCTGGCTAATGGAATAGGAGTTCCGAGTCATTTTAAAGAAGAAGTTTTAGTGATTATTTCTCTGTGTGATTATAATCACAAGCACCAAATATTTTTCTCTCAATAAACATTCTTACTGATGAACTAAAAGAAAATACTTGAAAATTTATTTGTGGGATATAAAGTTTATTTTTGCGAGATAAACTTTATCTTCCGCAAAAGAATTTTCAACTACTTCTCTCTTTCTCAGTATCTCTCTCACTCCTTATTTTGCTCTTCAGGGGAGGCGCAACGCTTTGGGTAAATACGCTCAGGCTTACAGATGTAATGCGATGGCGGTAACGCTGCAGGAGGCCTTTTTAAAAATACACAAAGTCGTGTGCTGCGGTGGTATATCAAAAGGGACTTCCTTTTTCACGTCATCCGCTGATGACCACTCACTGGGAATTTTACCTTTTTGGTTATGTGACTAACGAGAAACGCATGACCGGCAACGACAGCAGCACGACAGGCAACGAAGAGGCTGGAATTGGCGTCTTACACACGACGACTTTGTCTTGCGCTCGCGATGATGTATCAAAGGATTTCTTTTTTCACGAATTCTTTGTCAAATAAAATTCTCGATTCGAGATCACATAACTTTGAAGTGGTTCTATCTTTGATAAAAACGACTGTCAAACTAACAAATAAACCCACACAATCCTTAAGAGAAATTACTTTAAGATGTTCAAATTAACTTAAAGTTGCTTAAAGTTACTTAAAGTTATTTATAGTTAATTATAAATAACTTTAAATAACTTTAAGCAACTTTAAGTTAATTTGAACAACTTAAAGTAATTTTTCCTAAGGGAAGTGTCCGCCTCCAATTTTCATGAACTTATAATTGTTTTACTTTAGATCAAAATAACAGATACTCGTTTTTTATTATATGTGCCCTCTCGCAAGTTTAGGGGGTGAGATACCTTTGAAGAAAATCGGTCTTTTCATTCGAAGGGAATATAATAAAAACTATAAGGGATAGGAAAAAATATTTCGAATAAAAATTGAATGGTTTGAAGTGTACTTTACAGAAATTATTTTAATAATTATAATAAGAAGAAGTGGTGGGGGAAATATTAACAAAAAATTTTTTTATCAAATAAATTCTGTGAAGTACTCTTCAAACCATTCAACTTTTATTGAAAATATTTTTTTCTATCTCAAATAGTTTTCATTATATTCTCTTCGAATGAAAAAAACCGATTTTCTTCAAAGGGATATTTTACCCCCTAAACTTGCAAAAGAACACATATAATAAAAAACGTATTTGATATTTTGATCTAAAGTACAAGTTCATATTACAAGTTTATGAAAATCGGAGGCGGATACTTGTGTGGGTTTCCTTGTAAGTCATGTTTATCAAGTAAAGTTGAAGTCATTACATTGGAGATAATTTTTTTTTATCGACGGAAACGCGTGGGATTAACAGTGGCTCTGCGATTTTCTACCTGAAAGTCAATTTTGCAATTCTTCTTCGAAAAGTGGAGACTCTATACTTAACAACTGTATTTATTGACAGCCATTATATGCCAAAGTAGCACACGACGATCGTCAATGTTCAAAATGTTTTAGAGAGAAGGCAGAATGAAAGCGGTGAAGCTGTTCGCCCTGCAAAGTTTCAAAGCAGGCTTTCTGAGCTTTGACAGTTTCCTGAAAAAAGGCGAGACATATCTGGTGGCTGTTCGTAGCCGCGTTCTTACCTGCTGATGTTGTACTTGAATGTCATCCGGGGCCGCAAGTCAGCCGAGCGATTCTATCTGCGAAAAGCACGGAGACTCGCAAGCGCGCAAGGAAACAAGCTCGTCGAGGTGTGTATACAGAATGAGAGGGTATAACATCCATCAGCCGTTCCAAATAAATATAGATACTCTTCTGTTTCAATTGCCCTCTAAGGTAAACTCATCGCGAGGTCGTTTCTGGCCGAATGAGTAATTATATTCAACGAGTCTATAACTGGATTGACTGATCCTTCGAAATTGTAGACGAACAAGTCCAGACAGCACAAAATCTCCGGGGGATGTCCTGGGGACGTTCTCAGAACGTCTGTAAGATGTCCTGTGGCAATCTGTGGTATTCATGTGATCATTTCTAGCAGCTTTTCAATCAATTGGCTAAGGATTCCTTATTGCAGACGTAGACTCCAAAGATCTACAACAATATGGCGCGCTACTGGTTGGAGTACGTAGAATCGCCGGACTTTGTAGCTTGGCAGTACATTCACAACTTCAGTGTCAACGTATGGTCCACGATACTTTGCCCTTTATCGATATTGGATACGTATTTGTAGCGAGGAATCTGAGAGCGTGATTGTACGCATGTAGGTAATACTACATACGTTCATCAGATTTCCTCACGGTTCTCAATTTGTAATGTTACTTATTAATCAAGTTCAGTTACTGATAATGTCATATTTTTTTCTCGTGAACAATAGTCGCGTTGTCAACGAAATGTCCATGATTTGACTATTTCATTTATATATTTGACGTATTTCCTCCATAAGAAAAGAAAGAGCGTACTTGATTGATGATATTAAAAAATATTAATAATTTGATATCAAGCGTCTCTTTGATGACCGAGAAGTTATTGAATTCAACTGAAATAAATCAAATATTTTTTCGAGATTGTCTGTCGGGCCTCGAATAAAGGACACGACTAAGAGGGAAGAGATGGACGTGTCATTGTAGCGGACGTGGATATCGTAGCGAAATATTTATTTATTATAAAGTCATATTACATACTTTACGTTCTAAAAGGTAAACACGACGATCCCCTCGTGCGCATGATACTTCGTCAAGGCGAGACTACCTCGGTTCTTACCCTTTCCTCTTTTCTATTTTTTTTCTGTTTTGTTTATTTCTTTCTCCGCAAAGAGCAATAAGACCTCCGCGAGAGCTGTCGTGAGAGTTTCTTTAAATTATGAAATGATGATGGTCTCCGGCGACCGGCACTTAATTACTTACGTATCCCGACGATTAATTATTAACGCGTTGCGATTGAATTAATTGCTCTATTTGGCCGAATTCGGCCGAGTACGCCAAGGATGTTCGCGAATTCGATAGAGAGAACGAGAGGGGAGAGTCAGAGAAGAAGCAGAACAGGAGAGAGGCAGAGAGAAGGAAAGGGTAAGAGCGGGAAGGAGAGTCGGCTGAGAGAAATGAGAGAGAAATGCGAGGGAAGGTACAAAGTGCGTGAAGGAAGAAGAGAACGAAGGGGAGTAGAGAAATCCGTGGGCTCTTCGCGCGATCTTCATTTTTCCGTGACTCGAATTAACTCCGCACGTCCCCGATATCGACGTCGATATCGACGCTCGACTAAGACGAGAAATAAAGAAGAAATGAAACCAGGAGCAAAGGATTGCCGACGAGTGAACGACACGAGGCCGAGCGGGGCGATGCCACCCCGCGATTCATCCTCGCCCTCCCTCTTCGGGGGTTCGAGGAACTTTCGCTCCGAGGGTCTCGGAGCTCACGAAGCCCGAGAGCTCCGATCGGTCGGGCGCACACGAGAGACAGCTTTCTCATCGCGCGAATCACTCGTTGCATCGGCGTACTCGGCCCGAGTGCGTCTGTCCGCGAGGACGCGCGCGTGCAGCACTCGAGGTTACCTAAACCGAACGGAAGAGAGTGTCTTCCCCTCGCGCGGCGGCGGCCGCGAAGAAATTCGCGAGAAGTTAGAAAAAATCGAGAGAGAGAGAGAGAGAGAGAGAGAGAGAGAGAAAGAGGGAGAGAGGGAGAGAGAGAAAGAGATAACTAAATCTAATTAAATTTACTTATTTAACTAAGCTCAACTAGAAGATCGAATTTTCAATCGAATTTAACCAAAATCAATCAAATTTACCTTTTTCTCTCTCTCTTTTCCCCTTTCCCTTCCTGTCTTTCGTTCCCGGAAAGCACAAGCTTCGCAAAGACGTTTTGAAGTTGTTCAGAGAAAGTAGAACGTCTTCGAGACGTCTTTCAGAAACTGATGCTGTCTGGGGTTCCGCCGCGTTCTTCGGTGGGGCGCTCGCGTTATTCGGGTTTGCCTCTCATACGATGGGCCAATTCCCTCTCTTCCCGATCGCAACGAAAACTGCGTTTGCCGTCTGTACAGCTCATTCGTGCGCGTCGACCTCGTTGTCGATGCGACTGCTACGTATACCGGTCTTGCCTGTCCACGGGTAGATGTCCGGGCACGCCTGGCAGGTCTTCATGTACCTCACGCCGCTTTTGTGCCAGAGATTGCAGACCTTCGCGTTGTTGCATTTCTTCGGTCGGTCCTGCGCGCACACACGCCAGATCGCTTATTATCGGATTATTCGAAGAAAAGAACTAACGTGTGTCAAGAGAAAAACTTTTCCTTGGGCTCCTTAAACAAGGGACGCTGAACATGATCACGCACTTTTACATTTAAAGCCGTTGCCAATATTATTAATCACGCTCCTGTAAGTCTTTCCTTTGTAGAATTTGGCTCAATATAACAATGGACTGGGAACTTGAAGTAAATGTCGAAGCGACGATACAAATTTAAAAGTATTTGTATGAAAATAAAATAACATAGTCAATATGAAAGATGATGGAAAATGTTCAATAAATATTGAAATGACAAATAATAAGATAGTAAAAATTTCTCAGATGGTTTTGAGTCAACGTTGGAGTCGATTTTGAGAGAAGCATGGAGGAAAGGGTTCGCTGACGAAATGCCAACTCGAAGATAGGCTCTTACCGGATAATGGCATCCGAAGGGCTCGAATGTGTGGAGGAGTGCCAGAGGCGTTGGATTCCTAATCCATTGGATGGCCTGCCAATTTGTGACTACCCATACGTCGTCCATGGCGACGATGGTGTCGAGGAACGATATGAATCCTTCCTTGTGATGCGGCTGGGTGAACCATGCGGCGTGGTAGAACAGGCCGAATGGCGCCCTAAGTTCGCGATCACGCGAGAACGACGTGCAAGCAAATTAATGCGACTTTCGTGAGACGAAGGGCGTCCCGCGATGTGACGCCTCCATCGGGATTACCGTAAATGATTGTCCCGTCGGGACGATTGTGAAAGCAAAGCGAGAGAAAAGCTCGAGTGTTATTTCATTCAATAATTATAATATGTCCGAGCTGACTCAGGTTTAATTAAATTTGCTGATTATAATAACGTGATTCGATTCAATTTCAATCTCACTTTTACTTTGATGATTGATTTTTATCTCTTTAATTTGATTTCGATTAATTACTGAAGAGCCAATTAGCGACACTTCAAGAGGAGAACACTTGCTCGAAAATAGCTGAGCAATTACTTGCTGCTCTGAAAGGACGACTTTTTCTCTGTTCTTCGCGTATTGTCCAATCAAATGTATATTTTTACTAGGCATTTCTTATCATTATCTTCTCAAAGTTCGAATTTCGGGACGACGATTCTTCTCGAGACATTACTCGGTTCTGCTCGGAACTTCAATACGTTCTTCCGGGGCTTGGCGCGGGAACGCGCGTATGCGAGTGAATTCGCGCGATTCTTCCCGGCTTTCGTTCGATTCGCGAGCCAACAATCGCGGCTCGCTACACAATGCAACGCGATCTGTCGCTTTTCACTAACCTGTTGGTCGTATAATGCCGCTCGAAGTTCTTAATGAGCATCTTGTACACGCCGTCCGGTGTCGGTGGGTTGCTGCAGGCGTCTCCCATCGAGCATCTACCGCCGTTGAGATCTTGCCACATTACCATAGGAACTTCCCACAATCCCGGATAGGATCTCGTGGGACAGGGCGGTATCATGCAGTCGTGGAAGAGCTTGTAATCCAGCGTGTACGGCCAGCTGGGCGGCCGGTTCTCATAGATCGGCATAGAGGAGTCATACGTGAAGTTCGTGTCCCAAAGCATCTTGAACATGTTGTTGCCGCCGACCTGCGTGCAACGATCGCGCCACGCGTGTACAGAAATGTCGTTGCGCCGCCCCGGGTCACATAGTTCGCACATCTCCGAGGGGCATCGACACGTCGCGTCGGAGAAATCGCGAGGGACTTTTACTTGTTCGCTTGATCGTTTACTTACGACTCTATTTAGTACAATGCACTTGAGAAAATCATAAAGAAAGGATCTCTATAACTGTCTCAAAATCTGTAACCTACCTACCTGTGAGTCTTGCAAATTAGTATAGGATATTTTTCAAGAAAATACACATTATTTTTTAAACCTTTAAGAAATCTTAACATTTCGTGGAACCAGTTGTTCAATTTAGGTACAAGAATTCGGATTTGAATCAATATGTTATCAGTGTATCCATCGAATAAATATCTACACGGAGAAAAATAATTTGCTGGCCCAGCAAATCTTCTGCTGGTCTAGCAAAATCTTTTCGTTATTGTGTGGACAGCAAAACGATTTGCTAAGAATACTAATCACTATTTGCTGGATATAATTTGCTGAATCTATAAATTATTTTGCTATAAGAACCATGATGGATTTATATAAGCAGTTGCGTTTTGCTCCGATAGCAAATAAATTTGCTAAGGATACACTATTTTGTATCAATAGCAAATTAACATGATTCTTAAGACAAATACACTCAACAAATTTTTTTTATCCTGGCAACTATTTCTGCTCTGATAACGAATAATTTGTAAAATTAGTTACGTCAACTAAATTTTTTTGATGTCACTACGAATATGCAGTAGCAACGATTATTTTGCTAAAAGAGCAAAATTATTTTTCACCATGTACTATTTTTCTTAGACACTTTTTCTCTCAATGCAATAAAGCAATAATGTTCCTTGGTCCCGCGAGTACATGGAATTTGTCAACATTTGTTCAGTCCCATTACCATACATTGACTTCAGACAACAAAGCAATAAATGAAAATGTCAAGGTTCTCAAATGTACACTTGGAGAACATGAAAAAAACACCAGTACAGTTCGAGCTTTCCTTTCATTGACGCCCAACCGAATAATCACGACTGAAAGGGAAAGCGTTCCCCCGACCCCGCAAGATGCATTCCACACTTTATGTTCCCCGAGCGCACAATGAAGAAAGAATCAAACAAGCCAATAAGAACCAACGCAAGGCATCAGCGCTAACGAGCGCGACGTTCATTTTATTCGCGAACAGAAAACGACAAAAATGATTGCCTGAAAGGCGCATAAAGGCGGTTGAACTCACCGATAAGAAGGGTGCCCTCATCCCCCTGACGTCCTCCAGCTTGACGCCTCCGTAAGCCGACAGGATCTCGCGCTGCCCGGCGACCTCTCGTGCCCACTTTCGCGCCGAGAACTGTTCGCCGAAACTGTGCCTGTCGTAACGGATACACCTCGTCGATCATGTCGAATTACGAGAAATTAACGAGCCCTCGCGTTCGCCGCGCGCCGAACTCAAGATGGCCGACGACGACGTCTGATGACAGCGAGACGTTCCCCTTTTTCTCTTTTGATTACGCAATCGTCGGTCAGCGCACGTTACTTTTGACGAAGTGACGAAACGCCGAGAGTCGTTTTGAAAGAAGACACTATTGAGATTTCGTAAAGGGGAAGTCCTGATGCCTATCGACGCGCAAGTCTTGGTCTCTATTGATATTCGCGATTTAGATTATTGGTTCCGTTCATACTCTCTTAAAGTGAATCAGTGAAACATCATTGAAAGCAGTAAATATACACTGATTTGCAGCTATAAGTATAGCACTGAAACTGCTCAGTGCTATACTTATAACTGATATCAGTGACTATTCACTGATTCACTTTAAGAGAGTAGGGAAACCCTTTCGCTGCGATTGATCGTTCGTTCATTGCGATTTTCGTTCGAAAATCTTCACTAATATATTATTTCATTTTCATTTCATTATTATTTCAATTTCATTTCACTCGATCCTCATTAAGGAAGACGCAATTATCTCGGCAACAGCGGCAAAAAATTTAGAATTGCAGCGAAGTAAGTGACACATCTGTTGTGGAATATTACAGTAGAAACCTCGGTAAGAAATTTTCCGGACGTCACGTCACCTCGACTGTTCGGCGTTGCGCGACGAAACCAAGCGATCGATCAGACCGATCGATCATTCGATCGATCGGTCGGTCGACCCGACGAGCGAGCGACTGCATCGTGCCATTTGTTAACTCCCTCGTCAACGAGACGAGCCAGCGTTAATTCCAACACCGAGCTATCTGTTAGAGCGCAGGCGGTAATCGCTTTTCGGCAACTTTGAGACGAGCGTGATTAATCGCACGACGTTTATCAGCGATACCGAGGTGCACCGATGAGACGAATGATTGCAAGTCAAGAGCAAGCGTGACTGATACAGATTGGATCGCATGTGCGTACGAATGAAAATGGAAGAGTGCGGTTCGCCCGGGACTCTCGATTCCCTCACGTTGTCCGTTTTGTATTTCACCGTGAAACTTCATTTGTCTCGCTTTCTTTCTTCAATCACATTTGAAAAATTTCGCGAGAAAATTTCCTTATCCCGCGAATTAATCGGAAAAGAAGAGCTGATTGAATTGCTTTTCTTTCTTTAGTTTTGGTGTGTCAGGATCAGAAATCTGTACCGAGAAAGAAACATATAAAGTTTATTTCCGCGAATAAACTTTATAGCCCACAAATAAATTTTCAAGTTTCTTTTTCCTCAGTGTGATCGAAATTTTGATTGAAATCAATTCGGATTTTGGCGCGCGAACTCAGATTCATCGATTCTCACATAAATTCTGAAATAAATCGGAATCAGAATTAACACCGAATGTTAGCCTCCCAGAATTGACGAGGCACGCTGAATCAAACCCAAAACGTATTTTTGTTCGGAAATATAATATAAATCGTGTTTATCGACCGCGTTCAGGCTCGTCGTCTCACGACGACAATCCTCCGACAGGTTTCTTCTTTTTCTGGCGGGACTACTTACGAGACCGTGTGGGAGGCAATCTCGTGGCCGGAGGCGTAGAGATTTTGCACCTGGCTGTAGTCTGTCCACTCGTGGGACACGTAGAAGGTGGCCGAGATGGGACAGCCGTTCGGGTTCTTTCGTCCCTTCTCGAACAGGTCGGCATACAGGCCCTTGTTCAGGTCGTTCACGGAATCGTCGAAGGTCAAGAGTACGATTTGCGGTATCTCCTCCGGCAAGTAGTCACCTGTTCGTTTCGGGATCGCGTTTCGGAGTGTGACTCAAGAGGCGTAGGACGGCGTAGGCGGGTGGAGGGTGGCCGGGGGGAAGGGGGAAAGGAGAGAGAGCAGTTAGGAAAAAACAGGAAAAAAAAGAAAGAAAGACACGGAAGAAGGAATGGAAAACGCGCGCTCGTTCAAGAGATTGTCGTCGAGGTGTGCACAGACGTCGCGTGCCAAAAATTTGTCCGTAGGTCAATTTTAATTCAAGTTTCATTGGTTCGTTTCGTTCGTCCACGTATCGGTGCGTGATGGCGTATATATATATATTTTTTTTTTTATTTCAACGAGCGTTTTTTGCGTACGACATGGGAGTGTTTGCGCGGATCGGCGATCGACGTGTGATCGAATGTGTGACGTTAGGGTCGGCGCGTGATGGGAATGAGGAGCCATGTGACGTGAAGATGAGAGCGTGAAAGAGAGGCAGAGAGGCAGAGAGAGGCAAAGTGAGAGAAAGAAAGAACACAGAAGAGAGTTAATACCACGCGTCATTAGTATACGACTCGGGTGTCGTGCGCACCTGGTGAAACCGCGTGTTTGACGGCGTGTCGCTATCGGGCCGGGCGATCCCTTCGGCGCGAGATCTCTCTCGCTCGCTCGCGCGGTTTCACCGGCACGAGTACGGTGATTTGCATTTTTCATTCGAGCCGCCCACGGCAGGATCCTCTAATTGCACGGTGCCTTCGCGTTGTCTTCGCGAGGGAATGCGATCGTGGTGGCGAGAGTCCGCGGTTGTACCTGAGTACTCTCCGCCTTTGACCCTGCCCGAATTGAAATTTTCGTTTCACCGTGATATTTGGACCCCACGTTAACTTTGCGAATCCCGTTGGACTTGAAGGACCGATGAGGAGAAGAATTATTTAGTCACTGTCGCCGTTTTCTCCGTGTTGAGCCTCAAAGACTCGACAGCGGACAACACAGTCTAAACTCAAGCGTTTCAAGTTGAACTCGGGTTTCAAGCGACGTTTACCAGAGATTCCTCACACATTTTTCCTCCGCATTTTCAACGAGATTCGTAAGGTTAATGTGGAATCGAAGCTAGGATCCGCCGTGGACGCGTCGCGCTTCTCGATCGAAGTCTAGAGACCCTTGAATCAGAGACTACTCGTAAAAGTGGTTCTGTCAAAATCGCGCCGGAGAAAGAGGGTGAAATATTCACTATTTCACTTTCAAAAAGAAACTTACATGAAACTTATGTGCAGAAGAAGAAGTTACTTTCACATGGAAGTAACTTTTTCTCTATATAGATGTTAACATTTGTTTTGAAGCACTCCGTGGATTATTTTAAGGGATTTTATATAGAAATAAAACATATTCAATTTTCTTGAGAGGTTTATCTTTTATTTGATTCATTGAAAAAGTTCATGAGATGGTTATAATTTGGAATTGACACGGCGGATCAAACGAGTTGGCTGAGTTTCATTTAACGCCCGCATTATTTTATCCTTGTTTCTCACTGGATATTAAACAAGGATAGAATGACGATTGTTTGTAAACATTAAATAGAATGCATTCCTGAGTCAGTCTCTGAACAGGATTTACTGCTACGAACGCTTCGAAGCGTTCAGTAGCGCAAAACGGTTTCTAACCTCTGTTTCAAGGATCTCTGCCGACATTCTGCGTCCTCCCCAGCGATGAGAGGACGACGTGCGACGATCGAATAGATGAAAGCAACGGGAACGATCAGACGTCAACGATCGGACGTACACACGCACGCAGACGCAAAAATGGAGAAAAAGAGAAAGAGAGAGAGAGAGAGAGAAATGCGGAGATTCGCGCACGACGTGCGAATCTCGTGGCGTTCCGGTGAAAACAGCGCGTTTTATGACGGTGTGACGATGAGGATCCCCGGTGTGATGCGTTAAAAAGAGAGCGAGAACCCGCGAGCTCGACTTACGAGACGGTGTGCGACGCCATTTCGTGGCCGTCCGCGTAGAGATTTTGCACCTGGCTATAGTCCGTCCACTCGTGCGAGACGTAAAACGTCGCCGAGATCGGGCAGCCGTTCGGATTTTTACGGCCGTTTTCGAACAGATCGCCGTACAGCGGCCTGTTCAGGTCGTTCACGGCGTCGTCGAATGTGAGCAGAACGATCTGCGGCGTCTGCTCGATCGGTATACCACCTGCGTGCGTGTCATTACAGTTTCATCATCGCGGTCGACACGTACGGTCGACACTGCACGTGGTCGCGCGACGCGCTCACTTTAGGAACTTTCGGGAAATTCATTATCTCTATGTCCACCTCTAGAAGGCTCAGTCAGCACAATCGGCTCTAATCTAAATTCTTTTACTGAAAAGTTGTTCTCATGAAAAGTTAAGGTCTTCTCAAGTCTCCAAGGGAATGCGTACTTTGTTATTTGAAAAATATTCAATGTAAATAAATACGTGTTTGGTGCTCACTGGATGGATTATATTTCTTAAATATTCTTTTTCTAAGTGTATACACGATCGGTCGGGAGCGTCTTCCGCGAGCGCGAATTTCGCTTTCGATTTCGAAGGGCGACGCACGCGGGCAAACGAGCGAACGCGACGTCGGGCGTGGATATTTGTGTTTCACTTTCAAGCCATGCGCCGTGTATAACGGCGGTCTCCCGGCGTATATGTAACGTTAGAGAATCGGAGAAAGTCCTCCGACGCGGCTACGAGAGACCGTCTAAACTGTTCGTCAAACTTAACATTCGCGACGTGACGCGACGCAGCACGGCGCGACGCGAGAATGTCTCCGCGCTCGACATTCGCTCAGCTCTGTTCGGCGTTTCGCTCTCGTCCCGGCTTTATCATGCCCAATTTTCAATCGATCCGCGCCCTCCTCGCGCCGGCTACGTTAATCCGGCTCTCGGATGAGAGCAGGTCGACGCAGAATTCGACGACTTTCCAACGAGATGTCCACTTTCCAGGACACACGGGCGACCCACTTCCTCGTTTGCGTCCAGCTGGCGCGCGCTCCGAACTTCCGGCACGCGGGATGCGCGGCCGGCTTTTCCGCTTGGCGTTTTCTAGCTCGCGACACGTCGTTTCCGGCCCACTTAAGCCAACAAACGATCGACTGTCTCTAGCACGCGATTACGAAAGACCTGATCGAACAGAGTCGCGACGACCTCTGTCCGATGATCGCTTAACGATGAGGCGACGTTTGAATACGAAACGGATTTTCGCGTATTCCTCTGGAAACTCGGGGAGAAACGGAACGGGGGACGAGACAGAGAGAGAGAGAGAGAGAGAGAGAGAGGTTGGTTGAATTTTGGCCAGCCGGCCGACTGAGGTGGACCCACTCGTCGAGAAAGAGAGACAGACCCCCCGACTAGAGATTTACGCCATGGTCCTGATCAGATTGATCCCAATCAGTCATCTGACCTGTATAAGGTGATGTTATCGAGCTTTATAATTAATAATAAGACCTCAGTTATTAAAGGTTCTCATTACTAATAAGAGTCTGATTGCTACGCTATGTTACACGCAGCTTGTCAGAACTCATTAGTCCTGAAATCTAAACGTCAAACAGTCACGAAAATCTTAAACACAGGTAAGTTTTATTCAGCATATTTTTACTTGCTCAAAACTTGGTCAAGAAATAGTCATGAAACGATTAAAATTCAACATCTGGATTTGAGTAAATTTTATCCAAATTAACATCACTTTGCATACAGATAATTGATTGATATCAAGCTGATCAGGAATATATTTCTAGTGAGGTCTCTCGTCGGGACTGATATAATCGACGCGATAAACAATGAATACACTTACTTGGGATATCGGAGCCGCCGCAGCTGCAATCCGGAAGTAGGCAGACGTCCTTGCGACATTTCGCCGCAGGCTTATCCACTTGCGGGGTCGGGTAGATCGGCGCCGGTCTCACCGGCGGGTACCTGTAGATATCGATGAACTCCTGCGCCTTCGAGACTATCTCAGTGGACGGCTTCAACGTGGGTCGGGATCGCCTGGAGGCATTGAAAAAAAAGAGAGCTTCGTTAACAGAAGTCCTCGAATCTGCCTAATGCGAATCGGGCTCGATCGCGATAACTCTCGTCTCGCGTCAAATTAATTCACCACATTGGCGATGACTTTCGTTACGGGACGCACTCGTCTTGGGACGAAGGTTAAGATAAAACTTGGGATGAAAGAAAGAAAGAATTACAACGTTGCAAATTGCGATAATTCTTCATTTCAACGCCCAGTTCTGATAAATTTAATTTTGACATATGTTACCGAAAACATTCTCTGGGGATGATTTCAGACGCCAATTTTTGTTTATTAAAATGTATTAGCAAAGAGAATTTTACCAACGAAGAGCTGAAGTAATATCGACATCTTAGCCTAAAGATATAATAGAAATAAAATTGAATACAAAATTGAATAGGCGTTTTTTGTTTGTTGATTATGAATATAAAGTTAAATATGTAAAACTATTTGTATAAATAATAAAATGTTTAAACAAAACATGTAAAAAATTGAAAAAAATTATTTATATAAATAATTTGTCGGTTTGGCCGAGATTCGAACCATTTTTGACTAATTTGGCACAGATTTGAAATATTTCGGTTGGAATCTCGACTAAAGAAATTTAGAATGGTTCGTGTCTCAGCTATGACGATTTTGTTAAAATTATTAATTATATCTTGTATTTAATTTTATTTCTTATGCATTTTTGTTGTACTTGTTGATGATAGGAGTGAGAACATTAAAAAGCTATAAACTGCCCGTGAAACAAAGTGGGCCAAAATGAAAAAATAAGATCTAAATATATTTTTTGTGCTTCTACATTCGTATCAAATTAGAAAAAAATCGGGGTGCACCTTTTGGGTAGGTTTACTTGTCAGAATGACTCTGTCAAGATCAAGTCCATCAGAGCTACATCAACTAAAACAAATACTTAGCAAAATTTTGACTCTAAGAAACGTGTTCAATGATCAATCGGGAAACCAATTTTTTTTATTCCTTCTCAACGAAAAAAGAAAACGAAGAAAATCCTTTCTGCGAGAAATATTTTGTTTGATACGTGGATTAACGACAAAGCGATGAGAGACGCGCAGCGGAGAAGAGCCGGAAATCCGTTGAATCGGTTTCGCAGATTCACAGCCGATGCTACATCATCCAAATCATGCCTCGTCAAGGAAAGTGAATTGACAATGAACTTACGGCGGTGGCGTGCCCCGATGAATCTGCTGCGGTCGACCTCGGCTGAAAGAAGAAAGCAAACGCATGAGAAGACAGAAGAAGAAGAAGTACAAGAGAGTGAGAGAAGAGAGGCAGAAAATTGGAGTTGGAGATAAGATCCGTGAATTTCCGGCGGCGTGAATAAGGAAAATGCTCGTTTATTACCGCGTGGCGGAGAAAGCGCGTAAAGCGAGCGAGCGAGGGACTTCGTTTTGCCGACGCCGGGCGAAATCGGATCTCGGCCGACGGAAATCGGCACAGGATCGTCCCTTTCGCGTCTCGCGCCACGCGCAAAAATACGCATCATGTCGCGAATAAGCGCGCAAAAATTCAAGCCGTTGCGATGGATCAAGGAAGAAACGTCGAAACACAATCAAAAGTCTCCTCAACTCTCGATTCTTACGTATTCGCGTGTATAAAACAAGAAAAAAAATATATCCTTTCATAATATATATAAAATTCATTAATGCACCAATTAGATATTTAATAATGACGTATCACATGTGTATGTGTGCGCGCATAATTTTTTTCAGAAGAGTCTTAGTCTTCTACTTTAATAGCCTAGAATGCTTTGTACTGTGATAAAAATTACTAAGCAACAATTGAATAAAAAAAGTAATAATAACTAAATAATAGCTGTAAATGCTTTATACTGTGATAAAAATTACTAAGCAACAATTGAATAAAAAAAGTAATAATAACTAAATAATAGCTGTAAATGCTTTATACTGTGATAAAAATTACTAAGCAACAATTGAATAAAAAAAGTAATAATAACTAAATAATAGCTGTAAATGATAATAATAATAACTGATCCATGAGCGAATGACAATATCGGATACTAACCGGATACTAACTGGATACTAACCGAGTAATGATGAATGAATGACCAATAATAATAATTACTAATATTAATTGGGTAATGGTGATAATAACTGAATAAAATAAAACAAAGAACAAATCGCCGTAACGGCACGCTTGAGATGCTTCCTAATATGCAATAAAAATAATTAAATGATAACCGCATAATGAAGTAATAAATGAATGATGATAATAATATCTGGTCGACAACCGTATAATAATATCCGCGAGTGAATCATAATTGAATAATGATGATTGAATAATCCATAATAATGAATAACAACAATTAGACAACGGCGATAAGAACAAAGATGAAGTAAAGAAATCGTAACGGCACGCCCGAGTTGCTTTCCTATGCGTAATAGCAATAGTTAAATAATAAGCGAATAAAAAAGTAATAATACACGAATAATAAATGGTAGTGATAACTGATCGATAATCGTGTGATAATATCTACGACTGGAGAATAACGGAATAACGATGATCGAAAAATCGGTAATAACAATGAATAATAATATCTAAACAACGGCGATAATAACTAAACAAATGCTGATTCTAAATAGAATCGTAAGTCTCATAACTTGTTCTCGTAAAATACGTAAGAACTTATGAGTAGATTTACAATTCTATGCAATATCATATGTCGTACAATTACTCGTAAATATCTACGATTTCATAATGTAATTTACAATATTTACAAGTGATTGTACGACATATGATATTGCATACAATTGTAAATCTACTCATAAATTCTTACAAATTTTACGAGAACAAGTTACGAGACTTACGATTCTGCCTAGAATTGTAGTAAAAGACGAGGTAAAGAAATCGTAACGGCACGCCGGAGTTGCTTTCCTGTAATAGCGCAATATCAATAATTAAATAACAACCGAATAAATTAAATAAGAGCCAAAAAAAGAAGTAATAATATACTCGAATAATAAATGGTAGTGATAGTAATACATGATCGACAATCGTATGATAATATCCGCGAGTGGATAATAGCTGAATAACGATGATCAACTCATCGGTAGCAACAATGAATAACAATAACTGGGCAACGGTAATAATAACTGATTAAAGATGAGTTGCTTCCCTGTGCGTAATAGCAATAATTAAATAACCGAATAAATTAAATAAGAACCAAAAAAAGAAGTAATAATATACTCGAATAATAAATGGTAGTGATAGTAATACATGATCGACGATCGTATGATAATATCCACGAGTGGATAATAACTGAATAACGATGATCAACTCATCGGTAGCAACAATGAATAACAATAACTGGGCAACGGTAATAATAACTGATTAAAGATGAGATAAATAAATTATACGTAACGGCACGCCCGAGTTGCTTCCCTGTGCGTAATAGCAATAATTAAATAACCGAATAAATTATATAAGAACCAAAAAAGAAGTAATAATATACTCGAATAATAAATGGTAGTGATAGTAATACATGATCGACAATCGTATGATAATATCCGCGAGTGGATAATAGCTGAATAACGATGATCAACTCATCGGTAGCAACAATGAATAACAATAACTGGGCAACGGTAATAATAACTGACTAAAGACGAGATAAAGAAATTATACGTAACGGCACGCCCGAGTTGCTTTCCTGTGCGTATTAGCAATAATTAAATAACCGAATAAATTAAATAAGAACCAAAAAAAGAACTAATAATATACTCGAATGATAAATAGTAGTGATAATAATATCACTACAATCGTGCGATAATATCCGCGAGTATAATAAAGAAATAATGATGGCCGGATAATCGGTAATAACAATACCTGGGTAACGGCTCTAACGGAAACTCTAGGCTCAACAAAGGCTAGGTAAACAAACCGGCGTAACGGCTCGCTCGAGCCGCCGACTCAGCGGCGCGGGAGGGGGGGAAGGGGGGCGCGCGGCCTGGCAGGCAAACAGCGTGCGCGAGCACGTGCTCGGGAATCGCGCCACTACGCTATCAGCCGCCGAGGCGAGCGCGTCGCGGCAGGCGCCGCGTTACCTTCTGAGTTATTTCGCGCCGATTTTTAACTTCGCCACAACTAACACGATTTGAGACGCGTATTTATCACGCGAGCGGATGTTGCGGGCTTTACCGCAGCGGGTAATTATCGCGTTTTATTCACCTTTTTACTTGTTAAATAGAGAAACGTCGCGATCGAGTTCCTTAATGCTGATCATTATTTATTGTCATTATTTATTTATTATTCGAGTATTATTACTGCTTTATTCGATTGTCATTTAACTGCTTTTATTACGTATTGGGATGCAACTCGAGCGTGCCGTTACGACGATTTTCTTACCTCGTATTACTGTCGTGTGTGATCAAAGTTGTAAAAATATCAATTAAATTCGCCTCAATTTAATGGTTGGTTTGAGTAAATAATTTCTTATTTTATTAATTGACGATTAATAGAAGTCTGTACAATTAGAAATCATTCAATTAACGATTGATTTGAAGGAATTCAATTAAAAACTGTTGAATTAACGATTGAAACGAGCGAAAGTAATTAAAGATTATTCGATTAACGATTGAACATAGTCAATGCAATTGAGGGTTATTTAATTGACAATTGATATAAGAAATATATATATATATATATATATATATATATATATATATACATACATACATACATACATACATAAAAGCATATATTCAGCTTGGTTGGTTACCATGTAAGCAATGTAAATAATTACAATTACAATTTCGATTGAGATCGATTGGTCAATCGTCTTACTGCGCTTTTCGATTAAACTTGCTTATATCAATTGTCAATTAAATAATCCTTAATTACATTGATTATGTTCAATCGTTGATCGAATAATCTTTAATTACTTTCGCTCGTTTTAATCGTTAATTTAACGAATTTATTTTATTTGGCTATCGTTTAATTATTTTTTATTGCGCATTGCGAAGGAACTCGAACGTGCAGTTATGATAATTTCTTTTCCTCGTCTTGCTGTCGCGTGTAACTAATTAATACTAATTTATTAAATTACTAATTGATATTAACATAAATTAAATTTCTGTTACAGAGATCTAATAGAGAAGCCGCAGTCACTAGAGGCTCTAGAGGCTGCGATGCCTGGGGGATGCCGCGCCGAAGGATTCGGCTCGGGCTCGTCTGAGTCGGCTCGAAGGTAAGCTTCATTGATTTGTATTATAAAAATCCGACAAAACTAAACATTTTCTTACTTCGAATTGAGTTCCTGAATATCTCTATTATATGTCATGTAACGAATTAATACTAAATTAAATTTGCTTTTTGTTACAGAGCACTCGACTCTAAGGGGATGCTGCGCTGGAGGATCCGGCTCGGGCCTGGCAGAGTTGGCGAGAAGGTGAGTTTCACTTATTTGAATTCATAATTAAAAATTCGATAAAACTGGAAATTGTCTTGTTTTGAATCAAGTTCTTTAATGCTTCCATTGTCGTGTGTAATATTAAATTAAATCTGCTTTGTGTTACAGAGACGAAGCAGACCACTAGCCGACTCGTAGGGGCTGCTGCGCTGGAGGATCCGGCTCGGGCCAAGCGGGGTTAGCTCGAAGGTGAGCTTCACTAATTAACTTTTGTTATTAGAAATTCAATAAGATTGATAATTCTTTTGGTCGAAATCGAGATAATTTGAGTCGAGTTAAAGATCGCGTTGAATCGTAATTACACGCGGGGAGAATTTTTCATGAGTAATATCACCACTTGAAAAATGTTGATTTGTTTTAATTAAGAAATTTTTTTGAAATATCGAGAAAAAGGAAAATGGAATATTCTAAATGTGAATGCATTCCGAAAAATATCGCGCGCTTATTTTTTTTTTAAACTTCTTTACTCAAACTGACACCAATGCACGAATTTAATCGGCGAAATATTTTTCTGTTCCAGAAACGAAAGCAGAACGTGGCTGCCCTGATCGGATCGGTAAGTCAAATAAGAAAAAAAATTGGGAATAGAAAGACAAAAAGTCTTTCCATATAATGCATGTTTCTAAATCAATGCGATTTACTTTGGTGGTGTAGTGTATGTATGTGCTGTCCAATAAAGCACATTGCTCAAAACATTTGAAAGATCGCTTTTATATATAATGATATTAATAATAATGCATTTTTACATAAATTTAGCAAATTTTCAAGTATTTTTCTCCCAATTGCCATTAAAGTATCGAGTATACGCTCTAAATTGAAAATTTTGGAAAATTATTCAGTGCGATTATTGAATGCGATCTTTCAAGTGTTTCGATCAGTGCGCCAACGCGCAGAAATTGCGCCATCGAGATTGCGCTACAGAAAATGCGCAATCATGTCACCCGCCTCGACATCTTCCGCCGGTCGTTAATTTTTTCAATTTTCTCTCTCGCGTGAGCTTGCGTCGCGATTGCATTTTGTAAAGTACAGAGTTCTTCGTTAAATAAAATTCGATATCGTGCGGTGTCTGCGCGAAGCGATCTAACGTGATTGCTTAAACTGCTTGCAAAATTAATTTCACGATCGTCGGAAAATTTTCAGGTTTCAATTTTTTACTTAGAATTTCCTAACGCAGAACAAATAGATAATGTTAGCGAGCGTTGATCTCTCGCGAAAAACGCGATATATACAAATCGTACGCGAGCAGTTGTTTATTTATTTACGCGACGTATGACGAGTTCCATCGAACAAAACAGGCACCTCACGCGGTAATATTTTTTTCGCGTGAATTTTAAATAAAATCTTTATTTCTATTGTCGCAATTTTCATAGTTCTCAATTTTTCATTCACACTCGCGTTTGTGATTATATATTTCGATAGATTTGCGAATTTAATCGGTTTGTATTTGCGGAAGAGTCGAGAGCGAACTTCGCAGAAATACTGCGGAGCTATTATTCGCAAAAGTATTGCGGAATTGTCTTCGCAAAAGTATTGCGGAGCTGTTATCCGCAAAAATATTGCGGAATTGTCTTCGCAAAAGTATTGCGGAGCTGTTATCCGCAAAAATATTGCGGAATTGTCGTCGCAAAAATATCGCGGGTTTTCGCGAATTTCAGGTTCGTTGAGGAGACAGATGTCTCACGCGTAAACGATAACATTTTCTCGCGTAAATTCGGAATAGATCTTTTTCTCTATCGTCGCTATTTTCATAGTTTTCAGTTTTTTATTCGCAGAAGCGTCACGAGCGAATTTCGCAGAAATATTGCGGGAATAGGCTTTCGCGAATTTCAGGTTCGTTGAGGAGACAGACGTCTCACGCGTAAACGATAATACTTTCTCGCGTAAATTCGGAATAGATCTTTTTCTCTATCGTCGCTGTTTTCACAATTTTCGATTTTTCATTCGCGGAAGCGTCGCGAGCGAACTTCGCAGAAATATTGCGGAGTTATTGTCCGCAAAAATATTGCGGAATTGTCTTCGCAAAAGTATTGCGGAGCTGTTATCCGCAAAAATATTGCGGAATTGTCTTCGCAAAAGTATTGCGGAGCTATTATCCGCAAAAGTATTGCGGAGCTGTACTGCAGCCTACTGTGCTGCACCATCGAAACGTCATATTAGGGATCTTCCGCGTCGTACGTAAAAATCTCGCACAGATTACTTCGCCGACGCGTCGAAAGATTTCGCGAGATCGGCCTTCGGTTCGCGTCGCGCGTTCCCTTCGCTCGCGGATTCCGTTTTCTTCATATACGATTCGCGTCGCACGTGTATCAAAACGATACACTACAACTCGATCGAGCCGAATCCGTCGTACATACTCGTTGTTTATCCGAAAGGCCGACATTTTTTTCGAAAACGAAGTTCGCGATATTTCCAAGCGAGACGGGATTTTTCGCGAAACTTCCGTTAGACCGCGGTCGGGAATGAACAGGCGACGTGGGACGCGAGGATCATTGCCAGATGCAGTGACAGGATGACTGGGTGGACCCTGGACACCGTGGGACGACGCGCAATGGTGAGCGCCTCATATTTAGACGCTCATATGGTAGATAGCGTCACTTTATGTAGATTAGCATGCACGTAGACGTAAATCGCATTGAGTCCGACGGCAAGTAAAGTAAGAGTTGGAATTTGCAATTCGCCGGAGTTACGTAAGAATGATCCAATCAAAAAATTTAGCTCTGAGGTTTTTCTCTCTCTCGTAATCGTTCAATGACTCCAAGCATTTCTTTAAGAGTACTGACTAACTCAAACCTTAGAAAATAGACAAAAAAGACGTAACTAGTAAAAAATAGAGAACTTTTTCTTGATTAATTTTAAGCGTTTATAAAGTTTGAATTTGTTTCGTTTAGTGTAAAAAGAATGAATAGAATGATGAATGGAATATCCATATAAAAACTTATAATTTTTTTGAATTGGATCATTTTTGCATAACATTTGCCAGTTGAAATTTCAACTCGGGAGGCTTGCTTCTCGTCGGATTATCTCTTGATACATTGAATTGATAATCAACATGTATAATTTCAACATGTCATAATGTCATATTTATATGCTATATATGTTATATATGCTTTTTTGATACTTATATATATGCCCTTTTTATATGCTTTATATATATTATGTGACTATTATACTTCATAACTTATTACGTCGTATTTTATACGACGTACTATCTCTTCGGAGATATCTTCTTATTCATACGCGTTTGTCGTTGACAAAACGACAAATTAAATTGCAATGGGGGGTGAAATTTTGGGAGGGAAGAAATTATAATCCATTATAAACAACGCGTGAATAAATCTAAGCGTGTATTAATCACGCCACTCAAACTTCGGATAGGAAAAAGTGAAGGATTAAAAACGAAAGCTATATATAAGCGATCGAATACCTCGGTGCGTTGACAGTGTAGGGTCTGCTGGTCGTGCTGGGGGTTTGCGTGCTCGTAGTCAACGGTATAAAAGTGTCAACTATGACGTTCGGCGTCGTCACGTGGACCACGGGATGGCTAAGCACGTTTGTCCTGCGTTTGCAAAGAAAAAAGTTCGATTAAAAACGCGACTCTGCGTTGCGCAATCGCGAGGAAAGACGATTTTCGTCGCGAATCGACCGTCGATGTAATCGCCGATGTAATCGTCGATCCGCGATACAAACGGAAACCGGCGCGACGAGTCTTAAGCATTTTTAATGATGATCGGAAGATTGATGACGTCGAACGTCAAACTAGTCGCGAAAGCGCGTGCGTCCTACACTGAGAGAAAAAGAAGACGATTACCTAATTGATGTTACAGTTACTTTTGGCCCTATTTTTCGTAACAGTAATATACATACAAGGTTATTGTTACTAAACGTCATCGCAGAATTTAATTAAAAATGGTTCCTTGAATACACAATTTCTCTATGTGATTACGATTAAAAATATCACATTTTTTGGTAGCGTAGACTGTGTTAAAGAGAAACGTGACAGGAACGCGAACGGCCCTTATTCTCAACCTCGCTTTTGTTGATAAAAGTGTCCCTTGAAAGTGACTTGTAGCTAATCAAAAGGCTTATGAGCTACTTTGATGCTTTTATCAAGAAAAAGAGAGTTCAGAATAAGGATCTACGAAGATAAAGGTAAAAGTGCACGTAGAGATGAGTTTTCGTACACGAATTTTCGTTTTGCATTTTGCGAGGAGTCTTGAAGACAGGAAAACGCGGCCGTGTGTAACGCGATGAATAATATATACGCGAGGAGAGTCTCTCAGAATCTCGTTGGAGTATCAAAAGCGTATCGAATATGTATTCGAGAGTTAACGTCCGAATTACTACGTCTCGAGATCCAAAGGAGAAAGTTAGCTCGCGTTCGCGCTCTTCGAGGCGATCTAACGATCGCGGCTGAAATATTCCGCGAGTCCGCCAGCTAATTAAGCTCTATTTTTCCGCCAAGATAAATGTTTGTTTTCCGCTAAGAAAGATAGTTATCCATGACGCGAGTATCCGCACTCAAAACTCATTGCTTTCGTCTATCTCGGCCGAGAGAGGTATTCACGAACTCGATACCCGTCGCGCGAAAGGTTAATGAAGCCATCAGCCGGTGTCATTGATACCACCCCCGTGTTAAAGCTGCATAATCGCGTAACGAAGCTCGGGAAAGCTTGTAAGCACATTTGTGGAGGCGTTTTTATCGATAATAGAGAGCCCGGCGTAAAAATGTAAGATTCAATAAAACCTGAACATCTCCCACGCCAAAACTCATCAGTCTTCCTGATCGATGATTCAATGTCATATGATTGTGATGATTATATGACGTGAACGGTTGGAAAAGGCAGGCGAAGTTTGGTTTGGTAAATGTCAGGGCTTTAGTGAAACTTAATGTGCGTGTACCTGCGATTCGAAACTCGAACGACACTAGAGACGATTCTTTTCGTGTATGTTTCGTGTATGTTTCGTGTATGTTTCGTGTTACGAACTCATTGCGCGAGATGCGATGATTCGCAACGGCGAAACGAGAAATTATAAAACGGGACCCGCGCGCGCTGGCTGAATCGATCAATTAATCGAAACGATTTCCTTACCTGTACTGCTGACCGTCAGTAATGCGGAACTTGTTCTTGTTGAGCTGCGCCTGAAACGCAAAAGCGGAGAAACTATTCGTGACTTCTCGCGCGAAATGTCTTTTCTAGTGAGGTTCGCGAATTAATGATTATCATTGCAACCTCGGCGAGACTGGATTAGAGTCGAAATTTCAGCCCTACTTTCGACCTAAACTTTCTAACACTTGCGTGTTCCGATGAATCAGTGCATGTGCAATACATACACGCAAAAAAAAGAACTAGCTTCCAGAGCTAAAAAATAGCAGATAAGATAAGATAATCAGATAAGATGTGTCACTGAAATAAGGACAGCTAATGTCGATACTACCGAAGTTAAATTTATTCTGCTTAAACTTAGGCGCTATAGCGAGAAATATTAGCTGCTAGAAACAAATGACTGTAGCAAACGATGGTAGCTGTGTGGTAAACTTTTTTAATATACGATAAGAAATTTAAGAATAACTGCCATTTTCTTAGCCATTTGAAATAATGTGCATTTTTAATGTCACTTAATATATTTGTATTTCATGGCGAATGCATTTTAGCTGTCATAGCCAATTCTTAGCAGTGACAGCTAAACGATTAGACTTTTGACTAAGTTTGAATCAGCTACCGTGGTTTAGCTGATATTACTAATAATTTTTTTACTAGTAATTTTTTTGCGTGTAAGAACTGAAATATCACTTAACACTTTTCAACAAAGTTAAGTTCAAAAGAAGTTGATATAGACTTCAGGGTATCAAAATAGGCGTTATTGAACGGAACGTTGAGATCGAAAATGGGATCAAAATGTCGACTCGGGTTTTCACGGGTACTAAAGAAAACTGTATTAAAATTTCGGCTTTGAGATTCACAGAGACGATCGAAAACATCGATGTATACTCTCTCTCCCAAAATAAAAATCGGTTTTCATTCTATGTTATTTCCATTTCGAAGCGAGTGACGTTAATTACTGACGCGTTCGCGAAAACTTCGCGTGTTCCGAGACGGTGTAATTTCGCTCAAGGCGAATCGACTCGCCAGACAAGCTGCAGCCGTCTCACCTGATTCTCGTAGATATCGTAGTCCTGCACGTCCTGATTGAGATTGTACTTGTCCGCCTCGTTGACCGCGACCTTCTTCGGCTTTTGATATTGCTTCGTGTTCACCTCGCTGATCCTCACGTTCGGCTGCTGCACCGGCACTGTATGGTTCACCGTGTACTGGTTGTAGTCTGCAGCGGGCGCGATATGAAAGAAAGAAGAGAAGGGACTCGTTGAGGGAGGTCGCTGACGAAAGTGCTCGGGAGTGCTCTCGTTATCGGACTTGAATACTCACCGTCGTCTTTGTAAATGGAGACGTCGTCGTCATAAATGGTGTAATACGGGTAACTCTGATCCGGGTCGCTGTAATACGCCTTGGACAGGACCGGTGCCACGGTTGAAGCCAGAGTTTTCGCGAGCCTCGGTGATTCCGACGTGGGGACGGGCGTTCTGCAAATGTTGAAGCGTTTCGCGCTCGGTTATTACGCGAGATCGCCGCACGCATTAGCGGGAAGTAAATGTAACAACGTGTCAGCAAATTCTAGAACGTCTCGACTAATCTCGCGATTGCAAAGGAGTCAATGTTAACGATTTAGGAATATTGAAGTTGAAATGAGACTGATACTTTGAACAGAACACTGATTATTGTCGGGAAACAGGATACTCGGTAATCAAGTGTAATTTGTCCGACTTGTTCGCCTTGTTCGCGGAGAAGAGTGACTTGGTGCGTTACCAACCTGTAGTGAGTCTCGGCCTGGACACGCGCGCTCACCAGGCTATCCTTCTCTCTCTCCTGAAACACACACGATCTCACGCTTAATTTATCTTGCTTGTCCACGTCCCGCGCGATATCTTCGAATTCATCGCTGATGACCGATCAAATTCGCCCGCGACGATTAAATCGGACACTCGCTCGCGACGCAACTTTCTACCTACAGCCGGTTCTTGTCGCGACGAACCGCCGATGCATCCTAATATCGCTTGCGCGATTGAATCCCGCGCGTTTGCTGTCGCGACGAACGCGTTAATCATCGAAATGAAACTCTCTCTCTCTCTCTTTTTTTTTAGTGCAAAAGCACGACTGTGCATTACCGGCTATTAAGCCTGCATGAAATCACATTTAGAGAATCAAATCAGATCTATTGTTAATCAATTCGTTTATCCTTCCTAAATTTATTCACTCGCGCCATTGAGTCCTTTTTATCTCTTCCTTTCCCTTATTTCCTATTCTCAATTCACTTTATTTCTTTTTATCATATAACTCGATGTTATCAATAATTGTTAATAACACTATAATGTTATTAATAATTGTTAATAACACTATTGTCAATAATACTATTTTAATTTGTTAATAATGAAGTTTTTATCGCGACAAGCACACGGCGTGTACAATCGTTTTTCCCATTAACAAATTACAATTGAGAAATCATCAGATTGCAACAAATAATCAGGCGATATCGGTCATCCGCGACGAAGACTTTGTCGGCGAAATAATCGCAGGTTCGATGAAGCGACCGAGCGAACCCAACGCGACTCTCTCGAGTCACTCACCGATATTATGTTCCGTCGCAGTCCGTCGCGATCGCGCTGCACCTGACCGATCGTCGACGGTTGTCCTCGGTACACTCGTTGCTGCCGATCGTTCTCGACCTCCGAGGCGGGCCCGTACTCGTCCTCGTGATAATTCGTACGCTGCCGTTGTCGTAGCTGCCTCTCGGTGATCTGCGACACCGGCGGCGACGTGCTCGTGATCGTGATCGGCCTCTGAATCGGTCGTTGTTGTTGCTGCTGCTGCTGTTGGTCGCGCAGCTGTTGCTGCGATTGCCGTTGCTGCTGCTCCTGCAGCGTGTCGAGCTTCGTGGACCTACACGGAGAAAAATAATTTTACTCTTTTAGCAAAATCGCCATTGCTACTGCATATTCGTAGTGACGTCAAAAAAATTTAGTTGACGTAACTAATTTTAAAAATTATTCATTATCGGAGCAGAAGTAGTTTCGTCGGCAGGATACAAAAAATTTGTTGAGTGTATTTATCCTAAGAATCACGTTAATTTGCTATTGATGCAAAATAATGTTTCCTTAGCAAGTTTATTTGCTATCGGAGCAAAACTGCAACTGCTTATATAAATCCATCATGGTTCTTATAGCAAAATAATTTGTAGATTCAGTAAATTATATCCAGAAAATAGTGCAAATTAGTACTCTTAATCGTTTTGCTGTTCATATAATAACGAAAAGATTTTGCTGGACCAGAAAAAAATTTGCTGGGCCAGCAAATTATTTTTCTCCGTGTACGGTACGAGACGGTTCGGTTTGCTTGAGCAATCGATTCGATCGCGGAATCGCGGAAGGGAGCAAAAAGTAGAGTTCGAACACAGGTAGTCCTCGAAAACGTAGCTCAACGTCAAAGATCAATTCGTCGCGAGAGTTTACCTTCCCGCCGATCGTTCATTCTCTTTTCACCTTTGATTCGCGCGAGTGTAAAAAAAGGCGTTAACGTCAGTGATTGCGTACGGTTGTGATTTATCATCGCTGAAATTTTCGTGTCCGCAATTTCGCGGTAGATTTATCGCGAAAGCGCCGCCGCACTTTGTCGAACAAGATTGATAATGGAATTATAATTTAGCCAAAACGAAACGACGTCCCGGGTTTCCGTTTTTTCGAAAAATCTGCGATAAAGGGTAAAATTGTCTCAGAGAGAATCGAGATGTCGCGCGCAACTCCCATCGTGCGTTTAGCGTTCACATACGACCGTTTGATTCTGAGGCAAGCGTTTTCGGCACGTGTACTGCACGTGTGCGCATCATTATTGCTTTCATTGAATTTACATTGAATTCAATTATTGTCTGTTATTACTAACATCGTAATTTTCTATTATTGTTATAATTGGATCATGAGAATTATTCAAATTACTTTCTGTCGTCGCTTAAATTCGATTAAATTCTATCAAGAACTAAATTCACGTTAAATTTAATTATATTATAAAAACTGATGTATTAAATTTAACGCATTTCATGTACCCCAAACCATCCACTCTCATTTATGTGTAAATTTAACACAAAGCAAATGTGTTAAAAAGTAACTGCATAACATGGAAAAAATTAGCCCAAGAATTTAACATTTGAATATCGTTAGGAATCACAGGTTGTGTTAAATTGACATATTTAATATGTCAGAAATAGATTATGTCAACTTAACATTTTCATTTCATCAAAACGGTAGATCAATACTTCTCTCAAATGTTAAAGTAACGTTTTATTTTAGTTAATTTAACATTATACATGTGTCAATTTAACACAAACTGTGATTCCTGACGGTATTCCAGTGTTAAATTCTCGTGTTAATTTTTTACATATTATGCATGTTACTTTTTACCAATTTGCTTTGTGTTAAATTTACACACAAATGAGAGTGGATGATGTGGGACACAAATGTTAAATCTACACAGAAAAAAAGATTTGGTTGAATTAACCAAACATCTGGTCGAATACGAACGATCCAGAGATTCCGACTAAAGTGACCCGAATTCTGTTTAAGTTAACAAGATTTTTGGTTATTTAACCAGACATGTTTGGTTAGTCTACCAAAAATCTTGTTAACTTAAACAGAATTCGGGTTACTTCAATCGGAATTTCTGGATCGTTCGTACTCGACCAGATATTTGATTAATTCAACCAAATCTTTTTTTTTCCGTGTAACACATCAGTTTTTACAGTATATATTTCACCGATAAATCTGTCGTCGATTACGCACGACCGCGAGAGACTGCGGAAGTTCTCCTTCGAAGTGGCAAGGACAGCCGGGGAATTCGGGACGCGGAGAGCGAATAGTCGAGAAACTTTTTCCCCGGTTGCGTTCTCGCGCGCACAATACATTAATGAGTACCCGCCGGCTGCACGCGCGCGTTGGCCAACCCGCGGACTTACATAACGGGACCGCTCGACGGGACTGTCGCTCGGCCAGGCCCATTCTCGTACAGATTCGTCGTATATTTTTCCTTCTCCTTTACCATTCCATCGCGCGTAACGCGAGAAAGAGAAACGAATTAAATCTAGCGCGCGCACACACGGCAGGCGCTCGACCGGTCGGCTTCGCCCTGCCCGCGCATTTACCTTCCCGCCGATCGCTCATTCTCTTTTCACCTTTGATTCGCGCGAGTGTAAAAAAAAGGCGTTAACGTCAGTGATTGCGTACGTTGTGATTTATCATCGCTGAAATTTTCGTGTCCGCAATTTCGCGGTAGATTTATCGCGAAAGCCGCACTTTGTCGAACAAGATTGAAAGGCTGAATTACAATTCAGCCGAAACGCGAAGCGACGTCCCGGGTTTTCTTTTTTTTTTTTTTTCGAAAAATCTGCGATAAAGGGTAAAAGTGTCCCAGAAAAAGCGAGATGTCTGGTCATCTTATTTCAAACCACTTTTCCCCACTTCTTTGTCCGTCACATTTTTGTCAGCAAAACAATCTTACTGAAAATTTATTTAACGTATAGTGAATTTTATTACTTCTGCTTACATGTCAGAAAGAGATTTGAAAGTTTATTTATGAAAGTTTATTTCCGCGAATAAATGTTATTCAAATGCAGATGCCGACACTTCCCCCCCTCCCAAAATCACGCCTACTACATCCTCGAAAAATTCGCGAAAAATATCCTCCCTTACGTCGAGCCGAGTACGCGGAAAATTATACGTAAGACAGACGCTTCTTCATCGAATGGCACCTCGGAGCAGCCGAGAAAACACGATCGCGAGTCGCTCTATCGAAACTAATGGCTTATACCCCCGCACCTCGCACGCCGCTCCGGAACCGTCCCACTGCCTTAATCGAGAATAGCGCGCGCTGTTTCTCTTTCTCTTCACTCTCACTCTCGCCTTTTTCTCCCCACTTGGCCGCGAGCGTGGGTGAAGCCCGCGAGCGTGAGCGGCCATTGTTTTGCAATTCGCCAAGTCGAAAACGAGTATCCCCGTGTCGCGTGGAATGCGCCACCGAATAAGCCGCGCGCGATTTCGCAAAATCATTCATTGTCCGATCCGGAAGTTAATCGATCGTTCTAACTGCTTCTCGCGCCAGTCGATACCGGGCTCCACCATTCTGTCTTTCGTTTTGTATCGGTCAAAGAACCAATCATCGCGTTCCCTTGCCCGAATTTTTTTCAATTAACACATTGACTGCCATGGTACGTATAGCCGGTATCTCTTACTTTTCAACGACGCCGCAGGGGTTATCCCGATGACCGATACTTTGCTATTCAGCGACTCCGCTGGGGGTGAGAGCCTTCAGTGTGACGAATCGCTGTGTGTGTGTGTGTGTGATAATACCATTTAATTTAATCATTGAAATTGATATTTAGCGTGATAATCGATTTGCCATACAATATTTTTTCATAGTATCATATTTGTTAATAATGAAGTTTTTATCGCGACAAACACACGGCGTGTATAATAATGAAACATCGAGTAGTAAATTTAACCCTTTTAGTGCCGACCGAAAATGTATCTAAGTGTAAAATACCGGACCAAATTGACGTAGTTTGATAGGGTTTGAGGAAAATTTCTGAAGAGAAATTCAACCATTTATAACGTCTTATAAAATTAGTCTGGCAGCATCGTATGCGCAACGATATATCGTTGTTGGCACTTTTCGCAAGTGTTGCTAACAACGACGTATCGTTGTTCGACACTATAAGGGTTAAAAATTACAGCAAGAGTATCGTTCAAAAGCGCTCAAGTATTGCAGCTAAGACTTCCTACAACTAAAGCTTCAGTTGCAATCACTATGTGTGCATGTGCGCAAAATTAAATTATATACAATGGGTTGCAAAACGGTTTAGATACAATGACGTTGGGAGCTCTGCGAATTGAGAATCATTACGGGCGCGGATCCTTACCTAATAACAATATAATAATGTAATAAATATGCTAATATTTAAAATTAGTATAAATAAATATTATATAAAAATATATATAAATATATAAAATATATAAAAATATATAAATATATAAAATATATAAAAATATATAAATATATAAAATATATAAAAATATATAAAATATATAAAATATATAAAAATATATAAAACTATATAAATATATAAAAATATATAAAACTATATAAATATATAAAATATATAAAAATATATAAATATATAAAATATTTAAAGATATATAAATATATAAAATATTTAAAGATATATAAATATATAAAATATTTAAAGATATATAAAACCATATAAATATATAAAATATATAAAAATATATAAATATATAAAATATATAAATATATATAAATATATAAAATTAATAAAATTAATATTATTATATATAATTAATAATGAGATATATAATTAAGAACACTAAATGATATAATAAATAACAATATCAATAATATAATTAAGCCCAATGTCCTCGGAGCATGATTTGACGTTGTTGTCCTTGTCATTAACCTGTTAATGACATTCAATTTTGATAGTCTGATGGGTGCCCGACTTGTGTCTGAACCGTTTTGCAACCCAATGTAAATTAATTCTAAAACTCGTATAGTTATCACGAAATAATTGCCATCACCGATTCCTCTGAGCGATTTCTCTATTAATCAAATAGTCAAATAACTGATTTTCTATATTAATCAAATATTGCGTGCTAAATTAAATGTATTAGTAATAGTAATAGTAGTAGAAGTAGTAGTTGTAGTATTAACATAACATTTTATTTACCACACACTACACATTTACACACCACACATACACTAACACACATTTAGATACTATGGTTTTTACTATGATTTAATTTATCACGCAACTGATCAGTATACGCTCAGAGAAATCGGTAGTGGTAGCTATTTAAGTAACAACTGTGCGAGTCTTTTGTACGTAGAATTAATACATATAATTTAATAAATTGTTTTACAATGATTTATACAACTGAAACTCTAGTTGCAGTAAGTTCTAGTTGCAATACACTCTCGAGCGCACGGTGCTCTTGCTACATTTAATTTACCACGTGATATTCGGTCATTATACACGCCGTGTGCCTGTCGCGATAAAAATTTCACCGCGACGTGTGTACAACATAGTAGAAAATTTACCAGGCAGCCAATGTGTCAATTAGCTCTCCCCTCGACTCACCTTTCGCGATAGAGACACTTTCCCATCGCGCGAGATACATATTTTTGCGGCCTACTTATATACGAAATCGAATAAATCGCGGATTAGTGAGAGAGATTACGATTCGAGAGCGACGCTTACGATGTTCCGTGACGAAATAGCCGGGCATCGAACTCACCTCTCCAGCAGAGGATCCTCTTCGACCTCCTTGACGGACGAGCCACCTTCCGGACAGCCTACATTTCGCGGCCAATCGCACGTCTGCAGGTCGTGACTGAAAGAAAGCGCAGACGATTCGAATTACTTCCTGTCCCGATGTCTATCACTCGCGATCATTTCCAGCTATTTCCAGCGCGGCCAGTGTTTTCGCGACGATTACGGCGAGCGTATCTGCGCGATTAAAGGCGCGTCGTTTCCGATTTCGCTCGTTTTGCGACATCGTTTTGCGATCCGCGCGACGCTTTTTTCCCGTCCCTCCGCCGGGGTAATTACGCAAACGCGAATCGTCGTCGTACGCAGCTTTTTTTCCGCTGTCTGACCGCGCTGATTAACAGCGTGCCGCAACAGTAATAGGACTGGAATGTAAAGAAATCGGCGCGCATACATTTTGTCATCTCATTCGTAATCTGTCTTTCGTTCGTGAAATAATGAATTCCCTTGATATTCAATCGACTGAATAAATGGTAAGGAGTAAATGATTTTCGTGGCCCAAACTATACGCAAAAAATTTACTTTTTATTTTTCGCATACCAACGTTAAACTACCGTCTCTCATTTTGTGCCATACTTTACTTACTTATTTAAATTATTAATTCGCTTCAATCCCGAATTAAGGAGGAGATTTCACATCGAAAACTTCGTAAGAAACGAGCAAAGCTCTGAGAAGACGTTGGGAAAAAAGTGTTTGGCATCTGTTTGACCGTAATTGCACAATGAAACTATTATAGCCGCGGGAGCCACTTTTTGCCAAAGAGTGCCACCGTAGTATTAGTGATAATAACATTACATAATACGGCCGCGTGTAGCTACTTTTTCTCCTTAAAACACTGACATCAATGTGATTGGCGCCGAAAATCGCGGTGATTTTTAGCAGATTAATCATTCTTTCATCTCGAGGGACAATTATAAAATAAGCGGTCGCTCGTCTCGGCGTAATTAAGATGTAAAACGTCGTCCACGTTCCCATAACGATCCGGAGATTGGTGCAACAGCGCGGCCCGAGGGTAGCACGTGCTTTTCCCGAGGCTTTCCCGGGTCTGGGAAGGGAGAGGAAGGGTAAAGGAGAAAAGAAAGACACGCGTTCGTCATTGCGAGGTCGCATTTGGCGATTTCGGTGTCGTTCCCGTCGCAGCTGTCTCGATCCTTTAACCGTACTTGGCTATATCGCGTTACCATTAAGCACCATGGTCTCTCGGATCGCGGTGAACCCGTTCGCGGCGCTCGCTCCTATCCTACCGTATCGTATCGGACGAGGTGTGGCCGATCGATTTTTTCTCTCAGGGTTATGCGTGCACACACGACCCCCTTTTACCGCGCGGACCCAGACGGTGGACGGCTGAAAGTAAGGCCCCAGGATCGTACGTATTATCGGTCGATCTTGCCGGTAGACACGCGCCGAGAATTCACACGAACAGTACACGGACGCCGAAACGATTGACCATTTATTTCCGCGAAGTCGACGTCGGGTATCGAGTAAAACGATATTTTTGCGCGATGGTAATCACCCACTAACTTTGGTCCGGCCTTGATTTCGAAGTGGCCCACGTTTACAGTTTACAGTTGCAATCTGATTCTAACTCTTGTTTCAATTAAAATTTACAACTACAATTCTAATTCACTTTCCTTTCCTTTGATGTCCTTCTTTCACTCTGGTCTCTGTTGTTATTTTTTGGTCTCTATCTTCCGTTACTCTTGTTATTCATCTTTTAATCACATACTTCCTTGTATTACGCAACTGAGAGAGAGAGAGAGGATTCATATATGGCGACGTTTAATTAGTCACAGATATTAAATATCAAAATTAATAGATCGGTTTTTTTTTCTTATCTAAACGGTATAAGAAATTACTGCAGTTTTTCGTCAAACGTTTCGAACGATACGGGTATTTGTTAGGCGGATAAACTAGGAATATGGTATTTCGTCAAGAGCTAATGAGAGAGGATTCATATATGGCGACGTTTAATTAGTCACAGATATTAAATATCAAAATTAATAGATCGGTTTTTTTTTCTTATCTAAACGGTATAAGAAATTACTGCAGTTTTTCGTCAAACGTTTCGAACGATACGGGTATTTGTTAGGCGGATAAACTAGGAATATGGTATTTCGTCAAGAGCTAATGAGAGAGGATTCATATATGGCGACGTTTAATTAGTCACAGATATTAAATATCAAAATTAATAGATCGGTTTTTTTTTCTTATCTAAACGGTATAAGAAATTACTGCAGTTTTTCGTCAAACGTTTCGAACGATACGGGTATTTGTTTAGCTGATAAACTAGGAATACGGTATTTCGTCAATTAACGAATGTCAAATGTTTGCTGGAAAAATTATCGCTTCAACCGAGTCCTGGACAAGTGACGGTGTACGGGAAATGCAGGGAAATGTCGATCGAAGGCGCGTTTAGCCGCTCACGTCGCGTCGAGACTTTGTATTTAGCGCGCGATTCTCCCCGAGGCGGAGCTTGTTCCGAGCGAGAGATTTATTATCGCGGCTCGACAGTTTTCAGCGCTTACATTTTCGACGTTCACTCAGGAAACGAGTCGAGGAAACGATCGGTTTCGGCGTATCGGCGATCGCGAACTCGAACGATTTTCGCGAATATGCCTCGAGCATGCGAATGAACAACGAGTTCTCGTTTTTGCGTTCGTTTCCCGATTTTATCACAACCGGTTTTATCACAACAGAAATATAATCCAAGTATAGTAATATTATAATAATTATTTCAGCAAGTTATGGAAACTACACGGAGAGAGTTTTTTAGTTTTATACATATTGTAAGAACTTTTGACTGAAGAGGACCGCATTACATGGTCGAAACGTTTTTTGTAAAAATACTTTTTATGTATCTTTGTATTGTAGCACATAACAACTGCATTTTGGCTCTTGCGTCCTTGTATGAGTTTTTATTTTATTTTTTTTTTAGTTTTATTTAATATAATGTAAAGTATAAATTTTTCTCAATTTTTATCATGTTTCTAATAGTATATACTGAGAGAGAAATGCTTGATGTAACTATAATTAAATATAAAAACAATATAAAACTATATAAAATAAATATTTAAAATAAAACCTAAATAATTATATAAAACAATATAAAAGAACTACATTTCCGTGTAACTATAATTCTCTGATAATATTACTGTATAGTGTAGTGAATATTATAGTGACAGTGAATATTACAGTGACAATGAGTATTACAGTGTTTGTGATTATAATTACTTAAATATCCACTATAAATTGTTGAAGTGCGGAAAATAATTATAATATTAGTTAAATCAATCATTTTTCTCTCAATGCAGAAATAGACTGTCAGTAAGCCAGTCTGTCTTGCCAAGAAATATAGCGAATTTTTTAACGGCATATTTCCGTTCCCAAAACATAAATAGTATATATGAAATGGAAAATAGGATAATAAATTATCTCGGCATATTCATTTATTCCTCGGTTACTTTGTATATTTCATGGTTTGCCATAAAATTCTCTCCGTGTATGATTTCTTATACTAAGAGAAACAATATCTAAGAATATAAAATATATTCATTCGGCAACCAATAACATATTTGCTTGCACTAATATAAAACATTAAAAAAAAATACATTTTCTCAAATCCCCGGTGTTTTTCCTGAAAGCAATTGTTTATTTTATTTAAATGAAAGTATTTTCGATTTAAGCAAATATGTTATTAGTATCCGCCGGATAAATACTTCTTTTGCTCTCTACATGTTTTTTCTCTCAGTATACAAATCCTGACCATAACAGCTGCCATAATATTATAATTACCCGAGTCGAAATGTTAATCCTACTTTTAGCCTCACTATTCCATTCAACACTTATTTTGATAAAGAAAAGGAAAATATAAAAAGGGAAATTTCAGACAATATCAAAGTAAGAATAAATTGTATAGTTAGAATTAAACCTACTTTGCTAAAACTTAGCTCCTACGGCGTTGTAGAATCCAAAGTTTAACAAAGGGCTGAAATTTCGACTGGAGACAGTCATAAGTAATCATAATTTAATGGTGCTCCAACGATTCAATGAAACTAAAACGCGTCGACAAATTCACGCGCGCTCTCGGAAGACAAGGAATTCCCCTCTGCGAGGAGGAGGAGGCTTGTCCATCACGTGAAGTCTTCGAATCCGTTCGCGATCGCGAATTCGCGGGAAAGTGCGATGTTTCGTCGACGCGTCGCGACTTGTGTTCGCGTTCGCCGCGAAAATCTCTCACGAATCTCATAACGACGGAGGCTCTGGGAACGCGCGATGGGTCGCCGCAGTCGTCGTCATCCGGTTGTCTATTTCTGCAGCCGACAATGCGCGCACCACACCGGGTTAGCTCGCTCCCGTTGCCATTATTCATTCAATTTCCTAACTCGGCGCTAATCCACGTCCATATTAGCCGATCGAACCGCGGAGGCGCGCGGAATCGCACGCGTTTTCACGTTTCCATTCTTTCGGGCTGCTTTTCTCTCTCGACGCCGCGAGCTCACCTGTCGCAGCGCAACGATAATCGCGAACGCCCGCGGTCGTCGACCTCGCGCAATTAAGCGCCCGCTCGCAGAAACTGCGAGCTGTAACGAGCGGAAGAATTCCTCTCTCGCCGGCCATCCTTCACATTATCGCGAATCTGATCGCGGAACCGGGAGGGATCTCGGTCGGAGCTCGTCGCGGACTCGCGAAATGCGCGTGATAGATTTCGCAAACGGGTCAGGCGGCCCATCAAAATGATTTGTCGCATTTCGCAAGCAAAAATTGGAATCGCTGATTAATTTATCTCTCGAGGGCTTCACTAGCAAATTCCGTTCTAAAAGCAAATCTTTCTTACTTTTACACTCAGAAAAAATGTGTTTTCGTTTTGTAACTTTTGTGTAATCACATAGAGAAATAATCACTACAAATTATGGTCAAGAAAAGTATTTTCTTTAGTAAATTCTAATTATTGTACGTTTGGTAATAAATAGCGTCTGTTTGGGGCCACAAACATCAATGATTTTAATCAGACCACTTCTTTTCTCTCAGTGTATGTTATGTTACTTCAATTCTTGCGCTCGACACAATTTCTTGTAAAAACTTGTAAACCCCTGTAACATTCTGTAACGCGTCTAGACTAAGTTTTTCGGCACTCTGATAGGTAGGACAGTGGGGTTTTTAGCCGGTAAGAGTCCGGCACTACCTTCCGTTCCCGCAATAGGGAACGGAGGGTGTCCATGAGGATTTTCCCCACTATAAAAAAAAAAAAAAAAAAAAAAAAGTAATTTTTTTAGTTAAGGTAAATGTACCAATGCCCGAACATGTACCAATCTCCGGAAATTGTTATTATTTTTATATTTGAATATGAATATTTCAACTTTCAACTTTTACATTTAATATTTATATACATTTAATACATTTAATATTTATATTTAATATTTAATATTTATATTTAGTACAATACATACATACATTTAATATTTATATTTAGTGTACGTTGAAAGATGAAATATTTAGAGAAATATTCAAAATAATAAGAGTGCCCGGAATTAGGTACATGTCCGGGCATTGGGACATTTATTTTACGCCAAGTTTTTACCGTTCGTGGATGGTATATTTTTTTTTGTTGAAAATCTTAACCCTCCGTGGTGTTCAGTTAATCATTTTCTGATCACCTCACCTGTACATAAGGCCTCCCGTGCAGGACTCGAGCAGAGCGCCGCCGAAAACGCACACATAATACTGCGTGCAATCACGCGGATGAGGATAGTATCCGAATTCTTCGGGGCATTCGAATTCCAAGGCCGCCTCGTTTCTGCTAGCTCGGGCGCTCCTCGGAGTGTTTCGCTGGCATCCTGCAACATGTGCGCGTACGCGACAATTTAGCTTCAGTCTCACAAATTGGCGAAGTATTATTCATCACGACCGCTTTATAGAAAGAATATTATAGTTCTTTTCAATTTCTGATGAAATATGAACGACTCAGGAAGAAATGGAGTTAACAGAATTCAGTCTAAATTATCAAGACCTCTAATAATTCCCACGGCAATCTTTTAATCGTTCGTATTTTCACGTAGAACTTGGTCCATCTCCGAATCGAAATTTTGATCCTACTTTCAGCCTCACTATTCCATTCAACATCTGTTTTGATATTCAGAAACCTATGATATAATTTATTTTGACGCTAAAGATAGTAAAAAGGGAAATTTTGGACATCATCAAAGTCAAAGTAGAAGTAAATTGTATCATTAGAATTAAATCTATTTTGCTAACTCTTACTGCGTTGTAGAATTCAAGGTTTAACATATGGCCAAAATTTCGATTCGAGTATCCTGCGTCGTCACGAATTATTGTTGCATTATTTTCAACTCGTGGATTAACTTCAGTTAATTCGAAAGGTAAATTAACTTCACCTTTCTCGCGATCAAATCACGATATCAAATCAATATATCGCCCGGCTCAAATCCCCCGGTGCATGCGTTTCCCTGCGATTACGCGAATGCATACCACGAACCGGGCGTGCGTCTGATCCTATCGAAGCTTGTGCAGTTCCCCGCGCGGACCGACTATCCGATCCTAGATCTCCGCGGGATTGTGAAATCAATTTTTTTTTACGCGGCCTCCGTTGCGAAACGGTGGAACAAAGAGAGTCGTACGAAGCGGATTAACAAGCCCCGCGTGCGGATACGTAAAATCGATAACGACCACTACGGAGAGGCTGACAGTCCTCGCGATTGGATCACGTAGCGCGACGCTCGCGATATAGATCTTTGCGAAATTCGAGCCCTGAGACCACTCCTGATCGATTCGCGCGGGTCTACATTTTTTTCCTGGGAAAAACGACGACAAACATGTATAAAGAAGTACTCAGAATAATTCGCGGAATGTCAAGCACATAATCATTTACACACACTCTGTTATTAAATATACCAGGTGTAGAAGTATGAAACCGGAATTTTTTTATACAAATAAGACGTCTGTTGTTCGAAAGTGATAAATAATACTTTATTCAAAATAATTTCCACTGTTTTGAACACATTTTTCCCACCTCTCTGGCAGTTTATGAATGCCGTGCCAAAAAAACTTTTCATCTTTTGAAGCGAACCAGTTATCTAGCCATTTTTCCACATTTTCATACGAATCGAAGCGTTGGTTAGCGAGAGCGTGTCCTAGCGATGCGAACAGGTGATAATCGGACGGAGCCAAGTCTGGAGAATAAGCCGCATGCGGTAGTAATTCCCAACTGAACGACTCGATCGTTTCCTTGACCCGTTTTGCTGTATGTGATGGGGCATTATCATGGAGCAAAATGACATTGTGTTGCCTTTTTG